GCTTGCCTTGCATGCCTGAGGCCCTGGGTTCGATTCCTCAGCACCACATAAGCAAAAAGAAAAAAGCCAGAAGTGGCGCTGTGGCTCAAGTAGTAGAACACTGGCCTTGAGCTGAAGAGCTGAGGAACAGCGCCCAGGCCCAGAGTTCAGGCCCCATGACCAGACCCCCCCCCAAAAAAAAAGCAAGGGAAGAGGTAGGTGGGGAGGGGTGGGTGACACTGTTGAAAGGGGTGACATTGATCAAGAGGCACTGTCTTCATAAACAGCTTTGTTGAATGACAACTCCTTTGTGCAACTACCTAAAGAAAATGTACTTCAAAAAAATTCCACAAGGTTGGCCATACTGAGTTAAGAACCTTCTGGTCATAATAATCAATTGCCGTTATGAGAACTCAAAGGGTGGAGTGATCAGAAAAGACTCCGTAGAGACAGTGAGATGTGTTAGATCATAAAGAACAACCAGGCCTCCCATCAAGAGTGGGCACCCTTGAGAGCACTGACCCAGAGTAAAGGTGCACTGAGCATCCATGGAATGGAACAAAACAGACGGGCTCAATACTATTCACAAGCCCCCACAAAGGCTCATCTCTCCGTAGCTCAAAAAAAGACCTACTTGGTCCAGAAGAGTAAGGATCAGCTCTCCCTGTGTTCACCACTGTGTCATCAGAATATGAGAACATGGTCTTCATTTAGCATGCAATTCTGTATTGTCCCTATGTTTAGGACTTTTTTTTTTTTTTGCCAGTCGTGGGCCTAAACTCATCCTGGGCGCTGTCCCTCAGCTCTTCAGCTTAAGGTTAGCGCTCTACCACTTGAGCCACAGTGCCACTTCCGGCTTTTTCTGCTTATATGGTGCTGAGGAATCGAACCCAGGGCCTCATGCATGCAAGGCAAGCACTCTTTCACTGAGCCACCTTCCCAGCCCCATGTCCCTATGTTTAGGGATCATCTTTTATTACTAACATTCTATATACTAGGCAAACTTAAAGATGAAACTTAAATGAACAATACTGTTAATGATAATAGCCTGGTAGTGACATTGTAGTATAGGTTTATAAGATGTTATCATTGGGGGAAATGGCGTAAAGTGATATGTGCCTCCAGCTCCTACTGCTCCTCGAACATGACTTAATGATGGGCATTTGAGGTGGATGCTTCATTTCCAAGGGTAAACTGTCCACACAGTTAAGCAGTTCATTTTTATTTCATAGAGCTTTGTTTTTGGTGAGAAGTGTCTTAGAAGCTAAGGTAATGCGTTCGTTTTGCAGGCGATCAAACAGGCTGAGTGTTGAAGCAACTTGTCTGAGACCACCCAGTTCATGAATAAGAGAACAGGAACCCAAGGCCTGATCAGCCCCCTCTCCCGTGGGGACCTCAGCTTGACACTGGCTCCACTCAGTACACTGCTGGGGCCTTGGGGGCGCACTGACCTGTTTCCATGGAAACTCCCAGAGAGAAGGATGCTGATGCTGGTGACACGATGTTTAAGCTTTTCATAGATTCAGGAACCCATAAACTCCTACAAAAGACAGAAGTGGGAACAATGAGAGGAGGTCTTTAAAATGTCCCTGAAGGGGCTGGGAAGGTGGCTCTGTGGTAGAGTGCTTGCCTCAAGCACATGAGGTCCTGGGTTCCATTCTCAGCACCACATAAACAGAAAAAGCCACAAATGGTGCTGTGGCTTGAGTGGTAGAGCACTCCTCCAGAGTCCAAGCCCCATGACTGAAAAAAAAAAAAAGAAAGGTAAAATGTCCCTGAAACTTCCCTGTGTGGAAGAACGGGAGCTCCAGGCATGTCCTAATATGCCCTGTCCACAGGGCATGTGTTGGGGGTGGGGCTACAACTCTGGGTGTCTGTGGGTAAGGCCTCATGACATTTAGGGATATAACCACGAACTTCTCACCAGAGAGCAGGTGGTGCCAGCTGAGGAGTAGAGGAATGTACTGGAATGAGAAGGAATGATGGGAGCCCCAGGAGTAAGGCTGTGGGCCTCTGGCTTGCTGTGGAGCTGGGGCTTCTTTCTGGCTGTCAAGGTCAAGAAGACCTAGCCTCTGTCACTGGTGTTTTCCTCAAGCCTCTGGAAGTGGGAAAACATGACACTTGTTTTACTCAGTTGCTACACTTCTGAAGTGGTCTCGAAGCAACTCCAATCCTCCCATGTGTTTCTGGAATGCTCTTAAAAGGTGTATAAGTTACTCCACTGTCTTGCCCAATAAAGTGAGCCCAGGCATTTCACTGCAGTGTGCAAATCAGGCTTCAGACACACAGAGCCTCATTCACATGTGCGTGATTAGGATGAGCAAGGTTGTTTTCCCACAGCGCGCACTGTTGCCAAAGTCCTGCAACAGCATGTTCTAGAACTCCTGCGCCCAGCTCCTCACAATCACCAAGCACCCCTATTTTCTTTCTTCCTTTCTTTCTGTCTTTCTTCTTTCTTTTCTTTGTCCGTCATGGGGCTTGAACTCAGAGCCTGGGCGCTGTCTCTGAGCTCTTTTGCTCAAGGCTAGCACTCTACCACAGCAGCAATTCTGGTTTTCTGGTGGTTCATTAGAGGTAAGAGTCTCACAGATGTTGCAGCCTGTGCTGGTTTCGAACTGCAGTCCTAGATCTCAGCCTCCTAAGTAGCTAGAATTACAGGCATGAGCCACCAGTACCAGGCCCCTACTTTCTCTCTTGCTGGCAAAACAACTCAGCTCACTCCAGACCAGGGAGAAACAATCCAGACAGCAATAAGGCACACACTGTCCCCTCTAGCCAGGCTATCCCATCTGGCTTCTGCTGGCTCCTGGTTCTTGCTTAGGGACTTACGGGACAGACAGACACATATGTGGAAATAAGCTTTTATTCAGATAACAAAAGGTTGGGAACCAAACATGTTTTTTTAAAGCCTCGTTTGCGCATTGTTGAAACCAGAAGCAGCCCAGATGTTCCTGGCCAGCCACCACGGGTTTCTTCACTCCAAGAATGAGGACACATGACAGAACTGGTGGCCTCTGCCCTGTCCTGGTCCACACGTAGTACCCTAGAAATTTGCCCTTTGTAGGACAGAGAGGCCAAGTCTGGAGTTGGTCGCACTGCAGTGTTGGGCAGGACAGGGGCTAGGTGCTCTCGTGCCCTCAGCTTTTAAGGCTCTAGAAAGTAAAGTGCAGGTACAATGCTGGTTACTTGGAATTTCAGCCCCACTGGGCATCAGTCATTGGGGAAGGGGGATAAGTGCCAGATGCATATATCGAGGTGCTGTCAAGATTACTGGTAGGGCTAGGATCTGTAGTGCACACCTGTAATCCCAGCATGTGGGAGGTGGAGGTGCGAGGAGCATGAGTTCCAGGCCAGCCTGGAAAACAGGGAGTTCCTGTCTCAAACAAACAACAAAGTACTTTAGGTAGAGGAGGTGGAGACAATAGCCAGGCTCAAAGAAAAGTGCTTCCTCCCCTCCTCCCATAGGGTCCTCCAACCTCTTTTCTTTCTTTCTTTCTTTCTGTCGGCCTGGGTGCTGTCCCTCAGCTCTTCAGCTCAAGGCGAGCGCTCTACCACTTGAGCCACAGCGCCACTTCCAGTTTTCTGAGTGGTTAACTGGAGATGAGAGTTTCATGGCTTTCCTGCCCAGGCTGGCTTTGAACTGTGATCCTCAGATCTCAGCCTCCTGCATAGCTAGAATTACAAGTGTGAGCCACCAGCGCCAGGCTTAGCTTCTTTTCTTGAGAGGCAAAAATAGGAATGTCTCCCAGGAGGCCCTGAAGTCTGGAACGCTGCTCTGGGGTCTGAAACGCAAGCAGCTCACAGAACGAAGGCTGGGTGACGGGGCTCTCATGTAAATGTGCTCACACACCCACCCCAGGGCACCTACCAAGCAAGACCATCTTCATCTTCCTCGTTCTTTGCCTGGAGCTGGCCAAGGGGCATGGGTGCACACCTGTGCCTCTGGAGAAACCGGGGTAGGGCAAACGCAGGGTAAAAATCACGTGCAGTTGCCCTGCTTTAAGGACCAACTTTGTCTCCATGGACAAAATGTGGAGATAAAGAGCGGCTATGCCCAGCAGGCGGGGGCCTCGGCTCCCAGGCCAGTCACAGCAGCCCCCTGCCCGGCCCGCATGCGTGGCGCTGCTGAGAGGGGGGGAGGAAGCCACAGAAACGCATTGCTGGGAAAGCACCTCAGGCTGGAGTGTGACCTGACAAGTCTTCAACGTCATAGAAACTTCCAGAGGGACGGAGACCCTTGCTTCATGTGGGCCAGCGCCCTTCAGCCTCGGCCCGTGGGGCAGGGGGGAGGCCTCTCCTTAGGACGGAGGCGGAGGAGGGGAGGCCTTTCTGATGTGAGCGGGGAAGGGCAGGTCTGTAGCTAGGCGAGCCCTGAAGGAGAGTACTTCACTCAGGTGGAAGGGGACAGGTGGAAGGGGGGGGGCAGTGGTGAGAAAGCGCAGCCCAAGTCCAGCGTGGGGGATGTGCTTGCACGGGTCTGGGCAAAGTCCCCAGGGCAGCCTGCAGAGTGAGCACAGCTGACCTGAGGGCAGCGCCTGGAGAGGGGGCCTCTGCTGGCAGCAGGACTGGGGCAGCAACAGTCACGCTTGTCCCTTAAGGATGAGGACAGAGGTGAAGGCCCTGGGCCTGCTCTCCAGGAGTACAAGGCTCTGCTCTGCTAGTGCTATGGTGGACCGGGAGCCAGCAGGCACTTGGATTCTCTGCTGCTGCTGCTGTATGCAGAGGGAAACTGAGGCACAGAAAAGGAAGGCTTCACCATGGGCAGACCACAGCCTGCCACAGAGCTGGGTTGGTCCCCAAGCCCCCCAACTCCACCCTGGGTCCTGCAGCCTCTTTGGGAAAATGGCTCGGCATGATGGTGGCCAAGCGCAAGGGCTCTGGCAGGGGCGGCCAGGCTCTTCCAGGGCAGGCACTGTCTCGTGGCCCAGAGTTCTCTGGTGCTCTGCACAAAGGCTTTCTGTCTGTCTCCTCCTGAAGGCAGTGCTGATGGAGGCAGAGAAATTCACCAGGCCCATTTCCCACAGTCAAAAGCTCCCTGGCTTCTGCCATGGGAGCTGGGGTCAGCCGTCTGCAATGGCCGCTCCTGGAGTTCCTCCAAGCCAGGGTCTCCAAGGTGACTTCCCCTGTAGGCCACCTCCCCAGCATGCTGCCACAGGTGAGGAGGGTTCCTGAGCTCTCCCCAGCCTCCATCAACTGTCTCCCCACTTCAGGGAAGTGCTGTCATCAGTGCAAGTGTGGCGATGACTTGCTCATGACAGGACTCTTTCTTGGAGCACCTTAAAAGGAGACTTGAGATAACCACCTACCCAGGTTACTTTTGTGCTAGTGGGTATTGCTGAGCTTAAAGAGGCCCCCGGGTGACAGGTGCTGTCTCCTGCCTTGTCCCTCATTGTCTCACTGCCAGCATCCCGGGATTATGGGATACCCCAAACAAAACAGCTAGCCTCTCCCCATGACCACCGGGACAGGGCCATGTGGGGTTCCCCAAAGGCTTCTTCAGGCCCCCTCTCCTCAGGACCCTGGTGGACCCCTGGGCTGGTAGGGGGCAAGTCTTAGCCGCTGAGTATGACCTTCAGAACGCCCACGGCTCCCCAGGTGGTGTCATGAGCATCTTCTGGGTCACAGATTTCTCTGAGCAGAGTGCTCCCACCACCTCCTCCTTCCTGAGCTCTGTGCCTGCACAGGAGGAAAGAGAGTGACAAGTAGATGAAGCAAAGGGTGAGTACCTCCCCACAGCCAGTGTGGTCCTTGGGGCTGTGTGCTACAGACAGCTGTCCCCTGCAGCCTTGGCTTTACGCAGTCCCAGGAAACGTGGCAATGTCTGGCCTAGTTGGGCGCTGGTGGCTCACACCTGTAATCCTAGCTACTCAGGTAGCTGAGATCTGAAGATCACAATTCAAAGCCAGCCCAGGCAGCAAAATCCATGAGACTCTTATCTCCAATAAACCACCAGAAAACCGGAAATGGTGCTGTAGCTCAAGTGGTAGAGTGCTCGCCTTGAGCTGAAGAGCGCAGGGACAGCACTCAGGCCCAGAGTTCAAGCCCCACAACTAACAAAGTGTGGGGGGGGGAGGAGCGGGGGTAGGAAGACATAAATGGCTCTGTCCTTGCTGAGTAAACAAGAAGCAGCTGCAGAACCCCCAGTGACTGCTGAAGAGGGGTTTCTTGTTGAAGTCCCTCACTGATTACCCTTGGGCCTGTCAGCAATGCCAGCCCTGGCTCCTATGCTCCATGGGATTTCCTGCCTGTCCCCTCCCTTCCAGGTCACTCTGGCTCTGACTCATACTGTGAAAAGCCCTGCAGGGCCCAGAGTGGCCCAGACTGGGTCCCCCCTGCTTCCCACCCGGTGTGATGCCCTGGTGTGATGCCCCAGTGTGGCCCTCCTGCCCTCTTGCCTCATTTCTGGCAGTGGCCATCACGTCAGAACGGCTGGCTCTGCTGGCCAGGCTGCTCTGAGCATTCCAAGTGTGTTAACTCGCTGGCAGAGGAAAGCTGCAGCACCAGACCTTGCCTTGTGCCACAGCAGAGCGAGACGGGGAACTAGGGCAGGCTCTCCACACTCGGCCTGCCGCCCTGACCTGCACCTGCTCTCTCCAGCAGAATGCTCCTCCAGCAGAGTACCGTGTCTCCAGCACAAGTGCCTGGGCACCCTGCAGCAGCTCCACTCACCTCTGGCTCAGCATGGGACTGGGCAGCTATGGCTTCCTGCTTTATATCCCACATCGAGAGAACTGGGCCCATGGACTCACCTGCCTGGGAGCGGGCTGGCATCTGGGTGCAGGCGTAGACGTGGCTGAAGCGCCGGCCCGAGGAGGTCAGGTACCAGTGCTGGATGGCAGGCTGGGGGTCGTACTCTGTCACCGCCACTCCGTTCACTGCCGTCATCATGAGCGTGTTGAGTACCTCATTGGAGAGTTTGGTTCTTTCATTGGTCCTGATCCTGTTCATGGCTCTGAAGCCCCGCTCACAGCAGGAATTGGAGATGGGCACGCAGATCACCACGGCCATGAGCTTGCTCAGCAAGGGGAAGCGCTGCTGCTGGGCCAGGGTGTTCTTACACAGCATGGAGAACGGGAGATTCTGAGCAGAGACCTTCAGGTCCAGCCACTCCTCCCGCAGCGCTTCCTCACTGTACCCTGTGGGCAGGGAGAGATCGAAATACCTGGCAAGACTGAGAATGTTATCAGTCCCGAAGTGGGCCAGGTCAGCGCCACCTGGCCAGGCCATGGTGTCGAACACCTCCATGTGCTTGAGTGGCGGGGGGCGGTCTGTGTCAAACCTGTGCCGGAGGTACTCCAAGCCAGTCAGGACTGTCCTCTCCCTGTCCTCCTGGAACCGCTGCTCTGCCATTTCCATCCTGGCCAGCAAGATGCCGTGGAGCTGCCCATCCTGGAAGCTGGCATTGAACTCTTCCTCTGTGGGCCCCGCCCTGTGCCGGAGGGTCTCCAGGGCTACATAGGCATGCCCCAGCGTGGAGTTCACCTCTGTGATCAGCACCATGTCTTTCTGGCACACCTCAGACAGAGCTCTAAAGATGCTCAGGAAGTCCAGAAGGAAGTGGCAGAACTTGATGAAATGGAAGCCCTTCACCAGCCTCAGTATGCCCTTGGCCCTCTGCCCAACTGGGCCCCCCGCATCAGCCACACTCTGGAGGTGCCTAGCCAGCGTGGGCCAGCTCACGATGAGTGCATTCAGTGTGCGCCTCTTGCTGGCCACCCATCTGACAGCGTTCAAGTCCTTCAGACGGACGATTTCCTGCTCCAGGGGAGCCGCGCCGTCCCGCAGCTCGCTCAGCCTCTTGTTGGAGGACTGATAGAACTTGAAGATGGTTCGCAGGTGCCGGTCACATTTCCTCACCAGGTCAATGTTCCCACAAGCGTCCACCACAGCCAGGTGCAGCCGGTGGGCCACGCAGTGGACGGGCAGCAGCTGGGGAATGAGCTCCTGGAACTTCTCCACGAGGCCTCCCTTGCCGCTCAGCATGGTGGAGCCATCGGTGCCCAGGCCCACCACCCAGCCAGGCTTCCGGAAAGGGATGTCCAGCTCATCCAGGGCAGCAATGATGGTCTCAAAGTACCCGTCTACTGTCTCACTGTAAAGGGGGGCCAGGGTGATGTACGACTCCTTCACCTCCATCTGCTTGAAGTAGCGAATGTAAATCCCCACACAGGCCTGGTCCAAAGAGTCCGTGCAGCTGTCTAGCAGCACGCTCATGCATGGGGAGCTCCGGAGTTCGCTGAGGATCTCCTTCCTCAGCGTCTCGGAGATGTATCTGATGAACTGAGTGCACGCGGTACGGTTTCGGTACTTGCCTAAGATCGCGGTGCCGGTGCTCTGTAGAAGCTGCAGCACCTTCTCAAAGTCATTCAGGGGCCTGGAGTGGTAGGCGATGGAGTAGGCGGCGTTGAAGAAGTGCTCCATGTTGGCCATGAGGTCGCTGGAGATCTCTGGAGCGAGAGCGGCATGAGGGCTGCCGCCGTCTTGGCTTTCCACGGTGTTGACGCAGAGCTGGTGGGCCTTGCTGACTTCGTGGTATTTTAAAGTCTCCACTTTGAAAGGCCCAGTGTAACCCTGGACTAACCGCGATGATTTGTCGTGGACACTAGGTCGTTCTTTGCAGACTGAGCAGAACAGCTTGGTCTCTTGGGGGTCAATGACTAGCCAGGGGAACTGCTCAAACCAGGCCCTCTGGATGGAACGAGGTCTGTAAGTCCTGCTGACTTTCTGAGGTCTGCCCTCATCTACTTCATGCATACTGGGAGGGCAGCAGGAGGGCCATGTCTCCATGGGAAGGGCTGGAAGCGGCGCAGATTCCGCAGCTGAGACCTGGGTGTCTGCCTTGCTTACGGTCACCGCCTTCTTTTTCACTTTGGAGAAAATGAAATGGCGCTGAGTTTTGCTGTCCCAAGTTCCACAGGCTTCTGCCAGTTCAATACTATGTTCAGTGAATGCTGCAGGCGAAGACGCCCCGCCCACTCAGGAAGTGCAGAAGAGGTTATTGGTGATCTACTTAAACCTTTCTCCATCACTTTTTGAAACCCATTCTGGCTTCCCCAGAGTGCTGGCAGACACTAGTGGCTTCTTTAGCTGCCTTCCCAGCCCCATCTCCCCAGCTATGCAGGAATCAGATACTAATAAGCTTAACCACTCCCAAATACAGTTGTCATTAGATAAAACAGGAGGCTTTAATCCTTTAAGAAACCAGGTTAAACATCTGTTTCCTAACAGCCTCCTAAAGAAGGCATAGACAGAAGGAGACACAGAGCTTCTGTGTACTAGGCTATGAGCTGAGATGTGCAAAGCAGAGATTCACGCAGACTGCAGAGCTGCCGGTGCAGGGACTGCACAGGAGGGGGAGGATCGCCTCTCAGCCCTGCAGCAGCTCCCCGCTGTGGATCCCACTTACCTCCTCTCATCAGCTCCACCATGGCTCCCTTCGCACTCCAGCTCATTCAGGGACCTCATTTTTCCCATCATGTGTTTCCCAGACCAGTCTTGGGTAGATTAAATTTCTTATTTATCTTTGTCTACCCAAAGCCCAGTGAATAACTGGTCCAAGATGAGCATGGCTAAATCAATGTCACGTGACCTTCAGAACTTTGTGTCTGACTCACCTGAGGGGTGGCCTTTCCCTGACTTTAGTTGGTTTGGGTCCTTGATCCAGGGCGTAGCTCTCCGTTCCAGTTTTAAGATCAAGTCTGGCTTGGCAGCAGCAGGCCCTAGCACAGAAATGAAGTAATGCTGCTATCACTGCTGTGGACTGGCAGTCACATGCCCGCCTCGAACTAGATCCGGCCCTGCGATTTGCAGGGATGGCTGGGGTTCGCCTTGGCAATCAGGTCATCAGAGCAGGCTGAGCGCACACCTATCCAGATGAGCCATACCCGTGCAGGATGCCAGCGAGGAGGTCAGGGACGGAGGAGGCCCTGACAGGGGTGGATCATTTCTGTAGCTCCATCAGTCAGCCAAGGGGACTAGGAACTAGAGAGATGCAGCCACAAGAGGAAGAAGGAAACAAGAGGAAACACAAAGTCAGGGATGAAAAGGAAAGTGGAAGCCACTGTCCCACGCATGCGCCCCCGGCTTGGCCAGCCTTTGTGCAAGTGGCTATCGGTACAGGCTTGCCAAGGAGTGCTTAAAGTGACCTCGAAAATACCTACCACCTACCATGAGCCCTGAACTCTGATTAAAGGGGCCTTTGGAGTAAGCATTGCCCTTTACTTAAAATATGGCTATTATTCAGGGATACACACATAAACTACTTCCTTTAAGATAAAATTTATAAAATTCATTACTACCTCTTTATATGCCTTAATGTATAGGTAAAGGTGTATACAGATTTTTTTCTTTCTTTTATTTTTGTCAGTTGTGGGTCTTGAACTCTGGGTGCTGTCCCTCAGCTCTTCAGCTCAAGGCCAGCACTCTACCACTTGAGCCATAGAACCACTTCTGGTTTTCTGGCAGTTCACTGGAGATAAGAGTCTCATGGACGTTCCTGCCCAGGCTGGCTTTGAACTGTGATCCTCACATCTCTGCCTCCTGAGTAGCTAGGATTACAGGCATGAGCCACTGGCTGAGATGTAAGGATCGCCATTCAAAGCCAGCTGGGGCAGGAAAGTCCAAGAGACTCAACTCCAATTAAGAACCAGAAAACTGGAAGTGGTGCTGTGGCTTAACATGGTAGAGCACTAGCCTTGAGCAAAAAGTTCAGGGACAGTGCCCAGGCCCTGAGTTTAAGCCCCACAATGGAAGAAAAGGTGTGTGTGTGTGTCGGGGGGGGGGCGGGGGGGGAACTATCACCTACATCTTCCGAACTGCATTGTAGAGATACATTTAGAAAGAGAATAACCCTTTTCCTTGCCTGTGAAGAAGGCATCGAAGAGATGAAATGGAAGAAAGTTAAGTATTAGAGTTTTTGGAGAAGGTGGCCAAGTAGATTTTGAGCCCTTCCCCTACTATAGGAAAGGTAGTTTCTTATCCTGTAACCGTAAACCTGTGAGAACAGTATCCTGAGCCATGCTCTCTGGGGCTGTGAGGCTGACAGCAGGCGTCCCAGCAAAGGATATGCATGTGTTTTTCATGATGTAGGCCTGAGCCAATGCAAGGAAGGGAAGAGGCTGGAGCTGTCCTGAAGGGACTCTGCTCACAGCTGTCACTTGGTGTGACTCCCCCATGGAGGATCCTACAACAGGGGCAGAGGCAAGGAGGGCATTCATCCAAGACACTGAGGGGACAGCATGTGAGAGGTCCCAGTGGTGACGAAGGGGGTGGACCCCCGCAGCACCCACTCATGAGCGAATGAAGAATCTGCCTTAAACAGACACTGCTAATAATCACTGATGTCTGACACAGGTTAAGACTTCTCTTGTACCTTTGCTATTCACCCATCCATCACCCTGTCTTTCCCCAATGTGTCAATCCTGGAAGCAGTTGGTAGGCAGAGAATCCCTCTCTTCCCACTGCCTGGCTTCAGATTCCAGAGCTAAAGCAGGTGGAGGTGAGAAGGTCAAGTTCTGGCATTAAATGAAGTCTAGGTATTTTACTGTTACACAGGCCTGAACGTTTGTAGGTAGAACAGAAGCCCAGCCTGATGAAGGGTGAGTGTCACCCTTGGGCGTGACACACAGGACATCACTGCAGTGATCACTTGCAGGTGACAAAGGGTAGTCACCCAGGTGGCTTTGGGAAGCCCTAAAGCTGGATGCATTCTCCATTTGGTAGGGAATCCAGAGTCAAAGCACAGGCCTACTCCATACACTGTTGCCTAAGGCTGGAGGGTCACAGAGAAAGGACTAGCTAGCTGAGCCAATGACCAAAAAGAAAACCAGGCCCTTAGTTCCACGGCTACAAGGACCCAGATTCTACCACCAACTTAAACAGGCTCCCAGCCATCCCTTCCCAAGGCCTCCAGGTAAGAGTCCAATCTCCTCCCAGCTCCAGCCCAGCACCCCAATTTTGGCTCTGAGGCAGAAAAGGCAGCCAAGCCTACCTGGACTTCTGACCTACAGGCTTCCTGCCCTAGCTGACTTTGAACCATGATCTTTAGATCTCAGCCTCCTGAGTAGCCAGGATGACAGATATGAGACAACAAATTAGTTTGTGGGACTTTGTTATATAATAACAGAAAACAAGTATGTCCTATACACATAAGTAAATGATCAAAACTCAAAAATTTACCATTGATATAACTACTATAATCACAACCTACAACTAAATTTCTTCAATTTGTTCCTAAATGTTTTTTATCTCTATCTCTGTATTTCTAAGCCAACAGCAGCTAGGCTATCCTTTAAATTCAATATGCAATAGTTAGCTGTGTTCTTGTAAATTAGAAGATCTAACTCTGAAGAATCTGGTTCTGGGCATTTTGCTCATGGCCTGGAGGCCATTCTGTTATCTGTGGATGGCTAGAAAGAATCCTGTCCTAGGCTGACCCAGAGATGAGCAGGGAGAGCCCCAGTACCAGAGTGCACGAGAGTTAAGGGGACGGAAGCTATTTGCTTTGTGCTTCTGCTAAAGTAATTACTTCTGGTAAAACATGTAATATATTATTTAGAAATAAGAAGTCAGCCGGGCACCGGTGTCTCATGCCTATAATCCTAGCTACTCAGGAGGCTGAGATCTGAGGATCACGGTTCAAAGCCAGCCCGGGCAAGAAAATCCAAGAAACTCTTATCTCCAATAAACCACTTGAAAACTGTAAGTGGCGCTGTGACTCAAGCGGTAGAGCGCTGGCCTTGAGCTGAAGAGCTGAGGGATAGCGCCCAGGCCCAGAGTTCAAGCCCCACGACCGCAAAAAACAAAAACAAAAACAACCAACTATTTTTCAAAGAATAATTAAAAACAAATGGAATGTCCTCAAATCAGTTTGCCTGAGATTATATTCTCTTTGGGAACTGGCCACCTTCTGGTCCCAGGAGGATGGTTCCCTGATCAAACCTCTTCGAAGCTGTGGCTTGTTACCACAACCACACCACCACCTCCTCCTCCTCTTCCTGCTCCTCCTCCTCCTCCTCTTCCTTCTCCTCCTCTTCCTCCTCCTCTTTCTCCTTCTTCTTCTCCTCCTCCTCCTCTTCTCCTCCTCTTCCTCCTCCTCCTCTTCTTCCCTTCCTTCTCCCTCCCTCCCTCCCTCCCTCCCTCCCTTCCTTCCTTCCTTTCTTTTGGTGCTGGTCCTGGGGAATTAAACTTGGGGCCTGGGCACTATCCCTGAGCTTTTCCCCTCAAGGCTAGTATTCTACCACAGCTCTTCTTCACCTTTTTTGGGGTGATAAGTGGAGATAAGATTCTCATGGACTTTTCTGCCCTGGCTTTGAACTATGATCCTCAGATCTCAGCCTCTTGAGTAGCTAGGATTACAGGTTTAAGCCACTGGCACCTGGCAAAACCTCTTCTTTTTTGTTTCCTTCAGAACAGGTGACATAAAAAGGGATTTGCAAGCAGTCTTTTTTGTGGCTTAGCAATGGAAAAGGGACTGAGGGGACATAACTACAGCAAGTGCACACATGCACACACACACATACACAGAGGCTAATAACCACATTCCATAAACATCCACAGAAACGGCTTGGCTTACAATTAGCTCCTACTTCCCCCCCCCCAGGCACAGTCACATGACCCATGCAGAAGCAGGCCTTTTGATGTCTTCTGCCTGATCCTAGCTCTCCTGCTAATGTCCTTGTGGCTTCCCATAAGGTGCCCTGCCCACTTACCATATGACAACACCTTTCCTAATAAAAAACAGAGGTACCCATACCATCACTGATGTTTCTGTTATTGACCAATACTAGTTTGTTAACAGTAGAATATACATGAGATTTCTAGGGAAATCTTAGTTTATAGGGAAAACAAGAGACCTCATCAAATATAGTTGATATCTGAAACCAGAGTTTAAAAATGGAAATAAAACAATAAAGCTCTACAGAATGATAGGCATAACAGTCCTAAATAAATCAACATTAAAGATATAACAAGGGCTGGGAAGGTGGCTCAGAGTTAGAGTGCTTGCCTTGCAGGCATGAGGTCCTGGGTTCAGTTCCTCAGTACCACATAAGCAGAAAAAGCCGGAAGTGGTGCTGTGGCTCAAGTGGTAGAGTGCTAGCCTTGAGCTGAAGAGCTGAGGGATAGTGCCCAGGCCCAGAGTCAGGCCCCACAACTGACAAAAAAAAGATATAACAAAAATTAAGACAGGTGCTGATGACTCCTTTCTGTAATCCTAGCTACTGAGGAGGCTGAAATCTAGAGGACCATACTTGAAAGCCATCCTGAGAAGAAAAAGCTGCAAGACTCCATCTTCAAATCATTAGCAAAAAGCTGGGCTGGAGACATATATCAAGTGGTAAAACACAAGTCAAACAAATATGAGGCCCATGGGCTGGGAGGGTGGCTCAGTGGTTGAGCACTTGTCTTGCATGCCTGAGGCCCTGGGTTCGATTCCCAGCACCACATAAGCAAAAAGATAAAAGCCGGAAGTGGAGCTATGGCTCAAGTGGTAGAGCGCTAGCCTTGAGCTGAAGAGCTGAGGGACAGTGCCCAGGCTCAGAGTTCAGGCCCCACAACTGGACAAAAACAAAAAACAAATATGAGGCCCTGAGTTCATACACACACACACATACACACACACACACAGAAATGTACATCTGTTAAGACGCTTCAGTCTATGCCATTCAATTGCTAAATAGAAATTAATATTAAATTCAACTGCATCAAGTTGAAATAGTCTACTTAAAGAAACAGGTTCAATAAGCCAGGCACTGGTGGCTCACGCCTATAATCCTAGCTACTCAGGAGGTTGAGATCTTATGATCACTGTTTGAAGCCAACCTGGGCAGGAAAAGCTGTCCAATAAAACTACTCAGAAAAAGCCAAAATGGCACTGTGGCTCAAGCAGTAGAGCACTAGCCTTGAGCAAAACAATCCCAGGGACAGCACCCAGTTCCTGAGTTCAAGCCCCGGGACTGAAAAAAAATAATGTGTACAAGGTATACTAGGTTTTATCCACAGAACTGCAAAACACAAAAACCAAGCAAAAACCAGGCTCAATAATTGTAAAACCTAAAATAAATGTTTTCAGTTCTAATTCTGTCTTTTCAGTTGTAAACAATTATAGGAAAATAAGCTGGATTTTCTCAAATGGTAAGAACAGAAGTATGACGTCCACAAAGACCCACGGCCGGCTGAGCCTTGCCACATAACCTGATGAGCCCAGGCAACCAGTCTCGTTTCCCATCCAGTTCTCAGTGAGGCCGGAGAGCCAACAATGACCAACATGGGAATTGTGACTGCCAGAACAAACCTTACAAGTCAGACTGCAGACTAAAAGAGACAGGAAGGAGGGAAAGACTCATTTCTAAAAATAAAATTTTTTTTGGTCGGTCATGAGGCTTGAACTCTGGGCCTGGGCGCTGTCTCAGCTCTTCATCTCAAGGCTAACTCTCTACCACTGAGCCACAACCCCACTTCCAGTTCTCTGGTGGTTTACTGGAGATAAGAGTCTCATGGACTTTCCTGCCTGGGTTGGCTTTGAACCATGATCCTCAGATCTCAGCCTCCTGAGTAGCTAGGATGACAGGCATGAGCCTCCAGTGCTTGGTTCTAAAAATAAATCTTATACTTATTATTTAATCTCAACACTGTTAGTATTGAGCTTGATTCTAAAAGACAGAGAGTTTAATTAGTAATAAACATACACAAAGTTTTTTTTGAGTCTAGTGAATCCTCAATAGACACAATATTAAAGGTCAGCTTAGACATTCAACAGCTAAATAACTAGGATCTTCTGAAAAGTGATATTACTATTTAGTTCCTGCTGCTGAAAGTGAAGGACAAAGTGAAGGGGCCAGAGTAAAGAATGAGAACCATTGCAGAGAGGGTACAAAAGCCACTACCGCCCTCAGAGTCTCTGAAGCCCAGGCCTAGTGACACCAGTGTCCGAAGTTGCCACCCCGCACTTGCACCTGGGAAAGACGGAGGATCCTCAGCACCAAAGTGTGCAAAACTCCCTGAAAGGCCTGTTAACCTCCATGCCATGCTCAAGCTGCTTCAGTTCTCCATCGACTGCCCTTCCTCCTCCTTAGAAACAGTTCCTCTCTGCCAACCACAGGCCCCTCCCTCCCCCATTTGACAGAATCAAGAGTTCAGTTCCAGGGCTCTCCTATGTAACTCCTATAGTCTGAAAGTTCCTCACGCCAATGCCTGCCTCTCCCACACACCTACCAGCCTTCTGAAGCCAGACCTCCACTCTTCCTGCATTTGTAGGAATTCGGCAGATGTCGGGTACAGGATGGACAGACAGGTGGACAAGAAGAAGGATGAGGAGGCAGTAAAGTACAGTATCTCAAAGCAGGGAGTGTTCTGGGGACAGGCGGCAGGATCACTCTGCCACAACAAGGAGAAGGCAGAAATGGGAAGAAGGCGTTGAGCGCCACAGCTGCTCCTGTGGGGTCCTCAGTCAAATGATGGCGGCATGTGAAAGGCTGGGGAAGCTTTACCCAGAGAAGCCAAGAGCTCATAGTTCATCCGCATCACATCTCTGTACAGGCACTTCTGCCGCTTGTCCATCAGGCCCCACTCCTCCTGGGTGAAATACACAGCCACGTCCTCAAACACCACTGGGAGTTCTGCCTCCACCACCATAGCTTCTGGAGACCTCTCCTCAGGAGGTTCCTGCAACAGACAGCAGCGTCACTCAGCCCACACTGCAAGCCAGACACCCCACACCGCTTCCTATGGCCTTCGAAGATCCTTTATTCCAGGGAAGCCCACAAGAGACTTAGATGCACGCAGAGGAATTTATTCCTCACTGAGAGTTAAAGAATCACTCAGGAGGCAGAGATCAGGAGGAAAGTAATTTGAAGCTGGTCCAGGCAAAGCTAGTTAAGACTATATATATATATTTTTTGGGGGGGCATCTAGTAATGGGGCTTGAACTCTGGGCCTGGGCACTGTCCCTCAGCTCTTCAGCTCAAGGCTATTGCTCTACCACTTGAGCCACAGCACCACTTTCGGCTTTTTTTTCTTTTTGCTTATGTGGTGCTGAGGAAGGCCTCACGAATGCAAGGCAAGCACTCTACCACCGAGCCACCTTCCCAGCCCAAGACTGTATTTCAAACAGTAGCTCATCCCCCTCATCTCAGCAATATCACATGAAGCATAAGTAGCAAGACTGTGGTCTAGGCTGACAAAACGTAAGACCCTATTTGAAAAATAACTAACAGCAAAAAGCCTGGGGGAGGCATGGCTCAAGTGATAGAATGCCTGCCGAACAAGTGCCAAGGCCTTGTGCTTGTTTGGCTGGTACTCTACCATTTGAGCCACCCCTTCGGTCCTGCCTTCTACTCAATATTTCAGAGACTAAGCCTGGAAGCAGTTTTCTGCCTTGGCTGGCTCTGAACCACAGTCCTGCAGATCCCAGCCTCCTGAGTGGCTAGAATTATAAGCATGAGACACCTGAGCCAAACTTAAAATTAAAAAAATTTCAGGGCTGGGAAGGTGGCTCAGTGGTAGAGCGCTTGCCTTGCATGCTCGAGGCCCTGGCTTTGATTCCTCAGCACCACATAAGCAAAAAGAAAAAAGCCGGAAGTGGCACTGTGGCTCAAATGGTAGAGCGCTAGCCTTGAGCTGAAGAGCTGAGGGACAGTGCCCAGGCCCAGAGTTCAGGCCCCACGACCGGACCCCAAAAAAAATTTTTTCTCAATACTGTTTATTAATTCAATCAATGGTCCTTATATGACCAGGAATTATTTCTTGAGTTCTGTGGTTGTTTTAGATTCTGGGTAAAGATGATCATTGTTTATATACCAGAAATTTAAATGTTCTGTCCCACTAATAATACTCTGTAACCTTTAAAAAATGGAGATATGCTGGGGGAGTGGTCTTAAATAAGATACTATCTGCCACACAGTTCATGAGAAGCATGTGAGCTCATGAAGACATACAGTGTTAACACCTGGCTATTGCTGTTATTCCTTTTGCATCTTCATCATGCAAGATGTGCTATTCCCAATATACACTCCCTCTCATTAAGATGCAGCCATCGTTGTAAACATACTACTACCTGGCTGCAGGGTTCAACAGCATCGTTACATAAAAGGTTGGCATCTGAGGAGCTGTGGATGCCAATGGTGACTTCTTTTTGCCTCAAATCTGACAGGCAATCTTGATGCAAAGAAGGGAGGGCTCCACACTGTCCAGTTTCCTCTGGTTCAGCTCTTGAGCTTGGCAGGAGCTCACTCATGCTACCTAAGTCTCCTAGAGACCCTGAAGGGAAGAACACAGGATAATCCGCAGGGAAGAAGTACTTGGAGTTGGTCAGGATATCTGCGGATCTATCTCTGATGCTCTGAAACCGGGCTGCCCAGATGGGGTCCCTGGTGGCCAAAGCATTGACACAGAACATGTGGGCATTGCTTTTGGCATGGTACTTCAGCGTTTCCACCTTGAACGGTCCTGTATAGCCTTCTATTAGCCTTGACCGTTTGTCTCTGACTGATGGGTATTCTCGACAAGCAGAGCAAAACAGAGCTGTCTGTTCCTCGTTCATGATCAGCCAGGGAAACTGTGCAAACCAGGACTTCTGGATAGAGCGGGGCTTCACGGGTTTCTTGCTTCCTCCCCTCCAGACTCCCTGGATGATGCCACTCTCTGCCCTGATGGAGGCCAGGCAGGCTTCCTTCTGAGGTGGTGGGGACTGGCCACTCTCCCTGGAAGGTCCCCGCACATCCATTTCCTCCATGCAGCCCATCTGGTTTTTCCCTATAAAAGAGAGAGACAATTTATGGAATTTGCTTTGAAATCCTATGGTCAGAGCCACTGCAACTCACAGCCAAAGGCATTCAGGATCCACAGGTGGAGCTGGGACAATGAGACCAGACTTGCAACGCTGCAAATCTGGTGATCTTTCCACCGCTGTTTACTTCTATTTATTTCCTCCATGGTCCTGAGGCTCCACAGATTCCCCAGGCTCTGTCATTGTGTGGTAAGCAGAAGTCATGCAAGGGACAGATTTTAAGGTCACTCCTTGGCATGCTAGATTTTTCTGTCTTGACTAATTTAAGGGGAGAAGGGCTATTCCACTGTATACAATTATGCAAGCTATGGGATTGAAGAGATGGGCAGTGTTGCCTAGAAAAATGGTAGGATTCCAGAACATTCCCTAGCATGACCTGGCCCAGAAAAGGTTGGAGAAGATGATCTAGACTGACATGCAGGAGACATGCAGGATCTATACCTAGGGGTGCCATCAGCTTATCAGAATCGCAGAGGCCCTTCGGCTGCTGACTCAGCAGCATCCATTCCTCCTGGAGCAAGTACACTGTTATGTCATCAAACGTCACAGGAGTCTGGAAGGAAAATAACACCTGTGAGCATCAACTTCTTCCTGAGATGTGTCTTCCACATCCATCAGTGTTCAGGATCATCTGAGGGAGCCTCTGCTCTGAGAATTTACCAGGTTGAGGCAGAGAGGAAAAGGTATTACCTCATCACACAGATCATCTGTGTGATGAGATAATGTAATTACTCCATGTCTTGAAAATCACAGTGAGAGCCGGGCGCTGGTGGCTCACGCCTGTAATCCTAGCTACTCAGGAGGCTGAGATCTGAGGATCTACTCAGGAGGCTGAGATCTGAGGATCGCGGTTCAAAGTCAGCCCGGGCAGGAGAGACCGTGAGACTCCTATCTCCAATAAACCACCAGAAAACCGGAAGTGGCGCTGTAGCTCAAGTGGTAGAGTGCTCGCCTTGAGCTGAAGAGCTGAGGGACAGCGCCCAGGCCCAGAGTTCAGGCCCATGGCCAACAAAAAAAAAAGAAAGAAAGAAAATCACAGTGAGAATGAGATCCATTCTTCTAGGATGTACCATCCACCAAAACAAGTCACAAGGAATGTTACAACTGGGGAAAATTTTTTTTTTTTTACAACTGGGGAAATTTTATATCTTTTCCTGTATGTTCTTCACCTGGCTTCTCCCCAACCCCACTCCTCAACCACTGGCTCAGCAGCAATGTATGGCACTTGAAACAGGATGAATCTTCACTTGGGGAGATGTAGCAAATGTCCAGAAACAGTTAAAAGTTATTTACAACTGGGTGCTGATGGCTTTAGAGCTGGAATCAACATCCCATCTGGCTTCTAAAGAGATTAAAATAAGTCAGGGCTGGAGTTATAATTCAGGCAGAAAAGTCCACTAGACTCTTAGCTCCAAAAACAGTCAACAAAAAGCAAGGCTGGAGGCTTGACTCAAATGGCAGAGCACCGGCCAAGCCAGCCAACTAAGTTTGAGACAATTACTGTTAATACTTAGCATGTCACCTCCAAGTATTTTGTTATGAATGTACAAAATGCACAGCTTTAAGAACAAAAATGGAGTGGTATTACAAAATGTATGCTTCAGTAACTATCTGTAATTAGTCTTCTAAAGCCCAGTGTGATTAGTTTTCCAAAAGCTACTGAAAAATGGGCTCCATTAAAAGGAGGCATATACCGACAGGAATGGGGACACATAAAGACAGTCAGCAGAACTAAGTGGGGAGGAGGGGATGCGAACCAAGATGCCGTTGAAGGCAGGTTCCAGGATGAATGCTGGACCTGCGGGCCATCTGTTTCACTGGTGCAGGTTAAAGCACTCTTAGCCAAGCAGAGAAGGGTTCCTGTTCACACATTTTCTCAAGCCAACGAGGGAATGGGTCTTTCACCTTAGGTGCACAATGCACGAGGAGTGTGGCCAGGACTGAATTGGGATGACGCAGAAGTATCTTCTCAGATCTACCTGAGAGCCCTGTCTTAAACATTATAAGAGCCTTCAGCTTCAAGTGATTACAACATAAAGAAAACACACTCTGCTTGAATAAAAGGAATCCCTTCCATAGTAGAGTGCTAGGAGAATTTCTGCTAACATCCAAATTCCCTGAATCTGAAACTCAGCCTTTTCTGTCTTGTCCACCTGAAATCTTCGCTCTGCTGCTCAGCAGAGCAGTAATTATCTTTGAAGCATTGTCCAAATGTCACACTTTAGATCCCAGGCTGTTTATTTCCTCTAGTTCCTTAGAGGTTAGGCAGCCATCAGGAACCTACTTCCCAGTCCACCTCTTTCTTGAAAGATTTCTTAACTGCATTGCTTTCCTGAGCTAGGAAGTATGGATTTCCATCCTAGTGCCTGGCACTTGAGAACTGTACACTGATAGCTTTTTTTTTTTTTTTTTTGGCTAGTCCTGGGGTTTGAACTCAGGGCCTTGGCACTGCCCCTGAGCTTCTTTTGCTCAAGACTAGCACTCTACCACTTGAGCCACAGTGCCACTACCAACTTTTTCTGTTTATGTCATATTGAGGAATTGAAGCTGGGCTTCAAGCATGCTAGACCACACTCTGCCACTAAGCCACATTCCCAGCCCGAAAGCTTATTTTTTTCACCAGTACCACCCCCCTCTCGACTGCCATGGTATATAGAAAGAATTTCATAGGCATTCAACTCCTTGTTTCATTTGACATACATTTATTATTTAAGTTTTGGTGATACAAAGAAAAACAGATTTAAAATCAACAAGATTAAATTCTTATAACATAGTAACAGACAACTATGATACATAAATACAGAAACAGAATAATGATGTTTAACATAGGGCTTGGTGTGCTTTAGTTCACTGTAGGTTCTGTTGAGCTTTATTGTCTTGGTCTAGAAAGCATGTCACTGTAGGTTGGGGAAGGAGGGGAGGATGAAAAGAGGGCTTAAAACAAGAAGTAACTACTTTTGTGAGCTGGAGGCCTTCCTAGGAAAAACTACAACACTAAAATATCCCCCCTTATCCTTTTTTCTCTGGTGGATGGATGGCCTATTCCAGTCTGGTCCCAGTTATTGAAGAGCTTGGGGACAGCACTCAATGCAAACTGCAGAGCACAAATACTTATTCAGTGAACACCTTTTTAATGAATAGACTCAATAAGCTCTTGAAAATATTGGGGAATCTCCTCTGAACCAAAATGAGAAATAAACCTGGAGAATTGGCTGCAAGAACTGGGTGCCAGGGGCTCATGCCTGTAATCCTTCCTAACTCAGGAGGCTGAGGCTCTGAGGACCATGGTTTGAAACCAGCCCTAGCAGGAAAGTCTGAGACTCATATCGCTAATTAACCACCTAAAGCAATTGGTAGAGTGCCAGCCTCAAGCAAAAAAAGATAAGGGACAGTGCCCAGGTCCTGAGTTTTAAAAGACAAAAATAAATAAATAATTGGCTATAAGAGCTGGGGATTTATTTCACTAGATAGAGCACTTGCCTAGCAGACACAGGCCCTATCCACACCAAAGGACTACCTACAAGTACATCCAGAAAGTTCTCCAGATAGATCTCCAAGGGGCTGTGTCCTGGTCAGTATCCACACACAATCACGCTGGTCTTTGCTGACAATGCCTTGGAACTCCAGCCATCCTGTCAAACCATCTTAACTACTCCCAAGCACTTTCCCTCCACCTAATCTTCCAACTCACATCCTCTTCTTGTCCAAAGCCTCAAGGAAACTTGTGGAATACTTCCAAGCAATGCCCAGATGCCTCCATGGAACAGATAGCCTTGAAGAGGGCAAAAGCTAGATGTCTCACACCTGTAACCCTAGCTCCTCAGGAGGCGGAGATCTGAAAATCACTGTTCAAAGTCAACAGAAGAGTCCGAGAGACTTCTCCCCAATCAACCACCCCAAAGCCCAAAGTGGAGGTGTGGCTCAAGTGCTAAAGCACCAGCCTTAAGCGAGAGAATAAGGCCACGAGTTGAAACCCCAGTACTGGCACAACAAAGGAGAGAGAAAAGTGGGCAGGAACTATGTCTGATGCTGCTTCTTTTCAGCCCTCTCTGGGTTAGGTGAATTAGGGCGGGCCGGGCTCCCACCAGGCCTCCCAGTCCCCACCCGCCATACTTCAGAAGGAGCCGGATCTCCCCAGAGCCCAGAGCCCCCCCCGGTGGGCGGGGCCGCAGGAGCGCGCAGGCGCCGGGGGCGCGGGGCCGGCGGGCACAGGCGCTTCCCCGCCAGGCGGTCGCCGCTGCGGGCCCCGCGCCCATCCGGCCCGCCCACCGCGCCGGGGCCCCGGTCCGGGCTCCGCCGGAAGGGAGTGGGGTCCCCCGGCCCTTCCAGTCCTACCTTCCCCGACTCCCCCGGCTCCATGGCCCCGCTTTCGCGGCCCGTGCGGACCCCGCCACTGCCGCCAGGCCGCCCCCTCCCACACCGGGGCCTGGCCTGAGGATGCCGCCGCGACCCACTTGGGGACCCCGGCTCCGGGAGAGAGGCGCCCCGGCGGGGAGGAAGCGAGCCCGGGAACTCGGCGCTCCCACGTCAGCGCGCGGGCGCGCTCCGGGAGGCGCCGAGCGGGGACCAGGGTCGTGCGAGGGAACTGCTTTACGGCTGCCGCCTCACCACGGGAAGTGTTGTGTGGCCAGGGTGAGGGGCTCTCGAAGCTCCTATTGGCTCCCTGAATGCGAGGTTCTGATTGGTTGCAGAGCAGCTCGCTCTTCGTGATCGGACGCTGAACAGTTCGCGTTTCCCGCGTGGTTACTAGGCAACATCCTGGGGGCGTTCTCCCGACTTGACAGTAAGGGCTGCAGATGCTAATGAGGCTGTGCCAATGTCAACCAGGTAAAGGAGATTCTAGGTTTTAGTTAATCAAGGAGGATACTTTTTGCTAATTTTTTAAGACCAGTTTTCATTAATCTTGTAGCACAGGCAGTCTTCAAACTCAAAATCCCCCCTGCCTCAGGAGGATTGTATGCTTGTATTACAGACAAGCATCACCTTTGGAGTGCTTAGATTACATGCCTGCATCACCACTCCGGGCCCGGTCTTAAAGGTTGCCTGCCACGTGCCAAGAACTGTACTAGATTTTTCAGGGCATGCAGTTGAATGAGACGACACTCTTACCTTTAAAGAACTCATCTATCAGGGAAACCGACAAGAAACTGAATTACAGCATTTAAAAAAATTCCAAAAAGGGCTGGGAATGTGGCTTCGTGGTAGAGTGTTTGTCTGGCATGCATGTTAGATGTCTTAACCGGATAAAGTAGACCACACATGTCCAAGTGGGGAGGAAAAGTTTAATACCAGCAAGGCTGTGAGGCTATGCCCATCAGAACAAGCCATTTAGCTAGGGGAGTAGTTATAGAGGAAGAAGCCTGCAAGAAGAGGAACTCGTAAACTGCATAGTCACTGAGATATAATTAGGACATTTATGGTAAGGGGGTTGATGCTCCTGGTCAGGCCAGGTCAGGAAGACCTTGAAACTCAGATGGCCAGGCAGAACAAGCCGCCAGGCCCCAGAAAGTTGGCCACCAACCAACAATGCATGAAGCCCTGGGTTCGATTCCTCAGTACCAAATGATCAGTAAAGGCCAGAGTGGCACTGTGGCTCAAATGGCAGAGTGCTAACCTTGAATGAAAGAAGTTCAGGGACAGTGCCCAGGCCCTGAACTCAAGCCTCATGTATTGTTAAAAAAAATCTAAAGAAATAAATGAGGACAGCGCAGGATTAAGGCAGTCTTGGTCATCTTCTTGTGAGGTGGTGAAGAAATAGTACCTGAACTGAATTAAAATAAGAGGTAGCAATTAACCAGGTAAAGGAGATGCTATGGACCTGTCACCCCTGCTGGTGCTTCTGTGGAAATTCCCCTTGTGATGGTATTTGGAGGTGGGTCTTTGGGAGGTCATTAGATTTAGATGAAGTCAGGAAGCAAGACTCTCATGATGGGATGAGTGACCTTTTGAGAAGAGACACCAGAGAACTTGCTTTGTCTCCACCATGTGAGGTCACAGTGAGAAGGTGGCCTTCTGTAAGCTGGAGAAAGAACCCTGGCCAGATCCTAACCATGCTGGCATCCATGCTATGGCACTTTCTTCTGACAAAACAGATCAAGATAGGAAGGGAAGCACAGTGTCACAAGAAAGAGCAATTAGGTATAAGAAACTTGATGAGTAAAGCAAGGGAAGAGACAGGGCAGTGACAGTGGGTAAGACAGAAAGTGACAGGAAGCGATACTGGGGAAATGCACAAGACCATATGGGAGGTGATGCACACCACCTTTCAGAGTTTGATATGAGCTTTAAGTTGATGAATTGCATGGGAAAATTTAGGTGGATCGGTCCAATCGCACAATAGATGACATTAAAAAAGGGAAAGACTTAGGTCTGGGAATGGTGTGGTTCAGCACTAGCTTCTAGCATGTAACAATCCCAGCACAGAAAGAGAGGAAAGTAGGCAGCAGAGACTAGAAGAAGGAAGATGTCTGTTTTTGATGCTATAACAAAATTCCCGAGACTGGGAAATTTATAAGAAAAACAAGTTTATTTTTTCATAGATTTGGAAGCTGGGAAGTCAAAGAGCAAGGCACTAGTAAATTTGGTATCCAGTAAGGAATGTTCTCTGTGTCTAAGATGGAGACTTTTTTTCCTGTGCTGGGGTCCAGTCCAGGGCCTTGGGAAAAGATGCCCTCACGTTGCAGGAGGGGCAGACAGACCTGTCACAATTCAAACACTGATTACTGAATTTATGAGAACTAAAGAGACAGGGGAAATGCTATGATTTGAATGTATGTGTTCTTCCAAAGTTTTCATGTTGGAAAATAGTATTAAGAGTTGAGGGCAATAGTATTCAGAAGTGGGGCATATAGGAGTTTATTAGGCCTGTATACCACCCGTACCCATTGGTTAGTGCCTTTCTGGCAGGGACCCCAGGGAACAGAATAGTTCCACGTGCCCTTTGGTCCTTCCATCTCTTCCATCATAGGAGGATGAAAAGTACCCAGCCCCACCAGACAGGTTTCCCCAGATTGATCGTGGATTTTTATCTTGAACTTTTTCATCTCCAGAACTGTGAGAAGTAAATTTCTTTCTTTATTTCTTTTTGGTCAGTTGAGGGGCTTGAATTCTGGGCCTGGGAGCTGTCCTTCAGCTCTTTAGTTCAAGGCAAGAGCTTTAACCACTTGAGCCACAGCACCACTTTCGGTTTTCTGGTAGTTTATTGGCGATAAGAGTCTCACGGGCTTTCCTGCCTGGACTGGCTTTGAACCATGATCCTTAGATCTCAGCCTCCTGAGTAGCTAGGATTACAGGTATGAGCCACCAGTGCCAGGCTGTTAGAAGTAAATTTTTATTGCTTATAAGTTACCCAGTCTCAGGTACTTTGTCATAGCAGCACAAATGGTCCGAGACAAAGATATATATGTGTGTTTTCTTATTTCTTTAAGACATTAAAAGTATGTAAAGTAATCATCAAAACAGTTTGCTTCATTTTTAATATATATAGAGATATCTAAAATGATAACACAAAGACAAACAACAGACTGGAGAAGATTTTACCAGTAATACATCCAGCAAAGACCTAATATCCAAAATGTACAAGGAGCTCAAGACACTAACCCCTCTAAACCTAATAAACCAATCACTAAGTAGGCAAAGGAACTAAAGAGAGACTTCTCAGAAGGAGAGGTAAGAATGGCAAAGAAACACATGAGGAAATGCTCAACGTCCCTTTCCATAAAGGAAATGCAAATCAAAACAATTCTAAGACACCATCTCACCCCAGTTAGACTGTCCAACATTGTGAATTCCAACACCAACATATGTTGATGGGCATGTGGGGGAAAAGGAACCCGATTACACTGCTGGTGGGAATGTAAACTATACAACCACTCTGGATAGCCGTCTGGAAGTTCCTCAAAAATACTAAACTAAGACCTTCCCTAAGACCCAGCCATACCACTCCTGGGTATCTACCCCAAACATCACAAGCCAAGATACTGTAAACACACTGGCACATCCATGTTTATTGCTGCACTATTCACAAGAACCAAGTTATGGAAACAGCTCAGATGCCAGTAATAGATGAGCAGATCCAAAAAATGTGGTAGCTATACATAATGGAATTTTACCCAGCCTCTAGAAAGAATGTTATATCATTTTCAGGAAAATCGATGGACCTAGAACAAATCATTTTAAATGAGGTAAGATAAGCTCAGAGTGACAAACAGTGCATGTTTTCTGACATATGTGGAAGCTAGATCTAAAAAGACACCAAGACATGATAAATTATTTAGGACACTAGGTACACACAGTGAGACCTAAGGAGGATACTCTTAGGGGAGGAACCCAAAAGTACAATGTCTATGTGCCTCTGATCATATAAAATAATATATATTGAAATTAACTCCAAGAAATGCAAATAAGAGGTTATTGTTATTATTATTGTTGTTGTTGTTTTCTTCCCATTTTTCCTATTTACTCATTTATCTGTCTTTGGGAGGGTAAGGGGGCACAGAAACAGAGGGACAAAGGGTGAACAAATGCAGCAGTGATACTCACTGGACACTGTTGAAAATGAACTATACGACTTGCAGGTGGGAATGGGAGGGGAAAACTGGGACCATGTAGCCCCAAGTCAAATCAGGTATAGTCAGTGTTGAGCACTCCACAAAGATAATTACAACTATTGCCAAAGATATGGAGAAACTGGAACTCTTGTGCAATGCTGGTGGGAATGGAAAATGATACAGTTGTTTTAGAAAACAGTTTCTTAAAAAAATGCCAGGCACCAGTGGCTTGTGCCTGTAAGCCTAGCCATTCAGGAGGCTGAGATTTGAGGAATGTGATTCCAAGCCAGCCCCAGCAGGAGAGGTCATGAGACTCTTATCTCTAATCACCAAAAAGCCAGAAAGTGGTACAGTGCCAATCTTGAGCAGAGAAAGCTACCTAAGGGACAGTGGCCAGGCTTTGAGTTCAAGCCCCAGTACTGGCACAAAGGAGCAAAAATTAACTTGTAAAGTTAACATATGACCCAGTAGAAGTTATCATATAATCTAGAAATTTCACTTAGAATATATGGTAGACAAATAAAAACCTAAGCCCATATAGGTTCATGTAAAAATGTTAGTTATAGCTTTATTCATAATAGACCCTCTCCCCCAAAGAACCTGAATGTCCATCAACTGATAACTGGATAGAAAATGTATTAAATAGTTAAAACAGTAAAATAGTTAAACATTACTGTTTCAGCACTATAAAGAAGCAAAGTGTCATATGTTGTCATGTGAATGAATCTCAAAACCATCAGGGTAAGTGAAAGACTCTGGACACAAAATGTCCAGAATAGGCAAATTTGTGGAACTGGAATTTAGTTTAGTGGTTTTTCATGTGCAGGAAGTGGGAGAGATTGGTTGCAAATGGGCATGAAATGATGGAAATATTCTAAAATTGAATTGTGGTGACTGTGTAAAATTCACTTTCTATAAAAGTCATTGAAGTGTAAACTTAAAATGAGTGTGTTTCTTACTATGTAAGTTATACTTTAATAAAACTGTTGTGAAAAAGAGGAGGAGGAGGAGGAGGAGCAGAGGGAGGAAATCTCAGCCTGAGTTACCATGATATTATCTGCCATGTGGCAGCTGGATGGACAGATAGGACGTGGGGCACTAGAGATGTCTAATACAGCAGATCTCACACTTCATATTCAACCTTGTCCTTCTCCAGACCGGAAACAGGCAGTTATGGGACGTGACCTTCCCAGGCTCACTAGTCACGATGGGCATCCCAGTGAATCTAGAGTGGATTCAGAGGGAACACAGAAGGCAAAGTCCTTGCACAGACCCAAGCAAGACTAGACCCCAGAATGAAGACTACACACAAACTTGCTGCCAGTGTTACTTTATTTGGGCATGCTACTGCCCGAGCATGGATCTGCTGGGAAGTGGGCAACTGGGAAGTGGAAGAAGGGATCAGCGTTAACAAGCCCTCTGGCCCCATGAGGGACAGCAGTGGATGCAACTGGCAGAGCCTGTCAGTGCTTTGAGAAGTCACCTCCTAGGGGACAAGAGACACAGAGAGGGATGGGTTAGTAAGAGAGGCCGTGAGATGCAGTGGGGAAAAGCTGAAGGCCAGTGTGAAGGTGAAGCTGCCAGGAGGAAGCACAGAGCCAATCCAGCTCTCCCACTGCGCTCCCTCCACTCGAGTGGAGCCGTGCCCTTCCCTCAGCAGCCGCAGTCACCGATGAGCAGCATGGCGCACCTGCCAGGTGCTTCACACGCATGCATCCCCCCAAGGCCCCCATCTAAAAGATGAGGTCACCAGGACTCAACAAGGGAACAGATGGGCTGGCACTTGAACCAGGTATGATTTACTCCAAACATCCAGGTTTATGTATGATCGGAGAAGAAATCATCCTGCTGTGGAGAAAACGGCGAGGCTCAGATGGGAGGGAACTGAGGAAGAAGGGGGTGAGGTACTCTGTGTGTGCTCCTGAGAAGTTTTACTCCTATCCTGCCAGCCACTGCCCAAGCTGCAGAGCCCCGCCTCTGACCAGGCCCCGCCTCTGACCAGGCCCCGCCCCCTCCCCAGGAGCTCCTCCCTCCCCCAGACCCACCTTGGCAGGCACTGCACTGGCAGCTGTGGATGACAGGTAACACCACTGGCTCTGTGCGGCCGCCAGGACAGCGCAGGTTCAGGATCCTCACTGGGCTGTCTGGGTCCAGGCGGTAGCTACAGCAGTCGCACTGGCTGTGTAGGTACGGCTCCTGGGTGAGAGGAGGTGGCTGAACTGGAGAGGGGTTCAGTTGAGTTTCTCTCCCTTCAAACAGGAGGGCCACATCACAGTCCTCAGCCAAGCTGGCCTCCGGAGGACTCCGACTCCTCCACTCCCCTCCAGCCTGAATGTATACTGACTGCAATTTAAACAAATACCGTGGGTCACACCTGCAATCCTAGCTACTCAGGAGCCTGAGATGTGAGGATCACCCTTCAAAATCAGCCTGTGGAAGGAAAGCCCAACTAAACACCAGAGAGCCCGAAGTGGAGCTGTCCCTCAATGGTAGAGTGCTAGCCTTGAGCAAAAAGCTACAGGGACGGTGCCCTGAGTTCAAGCCCCAGCATTGGCACAAAAGAAACAAATGGGCAAATAATCACAGGCAGCAAGTTGCCATCCTAAGTACCAAGAGAGCTCTCCTGAGCCGACCCTCCTGCCCTGAGGCTACAGAGCCCCTTTTGTGAATCCCAGGAGCTCGAGATAATTTTACCTGCAACTGTATTTACAACTCTGCTTTGGGACAGGTATCAACTCACATAACACCAAGCACAAAACGATTCTATCTCCAAGCCACTTGCTTTTCCTCACTAAGGAGCTTAAGAAAGCATCCACAAGGGAGTGCAGGCACCCAGAGGAGCAGGGGCAGGGCCTCCAGGTGGGCAGAGGCAGGAGAATGGCCTCTGAGTACAGGTGAGGAGAGGCGGGGCTTCAGGAGCTTCCAGAGTGGGCTGGGTCTCCATCCAGAGAGAATGCTGGTAGTATATGTCACAGCTTTTCGGGCTCAGGGATAGAGGAGTCAGGGCCAGAGGCCCCTAAGCAGAGTCTAACCATGGGGGGCTTGCTTCTGGGTCTTAAGAGAGCTTGCGCAGAGTGTCAGCCTCTGCACCTTTGGCTCTCAGTGTGAGGGACTCTAACTCCAGGGTTTGTCTCCAACCTCCAGGTTTTTCTTTAGGGTGTCCTGAGTTGTCTTCTTTCTTTCTTTCCCTCCCTCCCTCCCTCCCTCCCTCCTTCCCTCCCTTCCTTCTGGTGCCAGTACTGGGGCTTGAACTCACAGACTGGGCTCTGTCCCTTAGCCTTTCCACTTAAGGCTGGCACTTTACCATTTGAGCTACAACTCCATTTTTGGACTTTTTGGTGGTTAACTGGAGATAGGCCTCACAGACTTTCCTGCCTGGGCTGGCTTTGAACCATGATCCTCAGATCTCAGCCTCCTGAGTAGCTAGGAGGACAGGTGTGAGCCACCAATGCTCAGCCTAGCTTGTCCTCAGAGGCACAGTGGGCGGAGGGGATTGTGTGAGGTCACTGTAGGTATCGAACCCCCCCCCACACACAAACACACCTCGGTGGAAGGCTCTGGCCCTCTGTAGCCCCTCGCGACTGTAAGCTCTGTGAGAGTGGGCCCTATCTCTCGTGTTCTCTGGGCTTTCCCAGGTCTGAAGCTGGCAGTATGTCCTCAGCGGCTCGGGATGAACCCTCCCAGCCCATGTAGCAGCCCCAGCTCACCTCAGGCATGACGTTGGTGCTGGATGGGCAGAGCCCACTGCAGTAGCTCACTTCTACCTGGTCCAGGCGGCAGGGTCCTTTGGTGAGGTTGCGAAGCTCTGTGAGGTGCCGGCAGGAGGCCAGCTGCTCCTCTGCAGGTAAGGACAGCCACATGGGCAGGAGGAAGGGGCAAGGCTGGGGGGGGCTGTGACTGAGGGGGCCCTGGGTGGCAGCAGTGGCTGGGGCTGCTGGAGCCCATGGAGGAGGGGAGGCCAGCCATGACAGGATAGCCCTGAGACGTTCACCCTGCCAAGCCCTGGAGGAAGGCAGACCCGGGCCAGTCTAGAAAGGCTGGGTGTAAGGACAGTTGGAAGCATCCAGGACCAGGGAGAGACACAGTAGGAGCAGCCAATGCCCTCCATACCCAGGGTCTTCCGGTGACAGGCGGGACAACAGCGCCCAGGCTCCTGGACCAGCGCTTCCTCCTGCAGAGGAAGCGCTCCATGAGGGTGGTGCTGGCATCCCCCGCACTCTAGGACCAGCTCTGGAGGAGGACCTCAGGGAGGAGCCCGGGACCATCCAGGAGGCCACAAGGCTACCATGGTACCTGAGCACAGGCCAGGAGGGGACAGTGCTGGCTGCAGATACTCTTCCCACCAAGGCAACGGCAGCGCTCACAGGCTTCCTCCCATTCAGATCCAGGCTGGGGAGAAGGGGGAGGGGGGAGCTTCCTCTTGGTCTCTCCCAATTTCCCATAATGCCCTGATGCTTGGGGGGGGGTGAGTCCCACCAGGAAAATGAACTAGGACTGGAGTGTGGCAGTGAGAATCTCAGGAAGCAATGCAACGGGCTAGATCCAAACACTGTCCCATGAGAGAGAATGCCAACCCGCCCCCTGCCCCAACTGCTGTGGAGTGGAATGAGGGACGTCAAGATGGGAGGCCTGAGGTCTGGAAGGGGAGGCTGGAGCAGGGGTGGAGTGTCTCACCAGATGGGCGTGCCCGTGGTGCCAGCACTCGCAGTGGTCTGCAGGGACGCAGGGGCCTGCCCGGCTGCGGAAGTACCCTTGTCGACACACACAGGCCGAGACGGGTGAGCCACTGCAGTTGCTCTGCGCCTCGGTGGCGTTTATCTCCACGCAAGTCCGCTCACAGGGCCCCAGACCGCCGGGGGCCACCTGCTGCCACATTTCCCCAGGGGGGCACTCTGCAGAGAAGACCATCCACCCGCTCTGCTCTCCAATCAGCCTGAGAGCCAGCCTAGATCCCTCCCTCCTCTCCTCCTCCCCCTGCCTTCTGGGCTCCGGCAGCCCTCAGCCATACCTTTTACTCTGATCCACCCCCCAAATACTCGGATCCAGTCAAGGTGTCACTGCCTGATCAACCCACCAACCCTGACCTCTGAATTCCCACATGGATTCCTGGGGCCCATGAGCACCTCCTGCTTGGCAGACACTCTGAGTCACCCATCCTCGGCCAGGGGCTAGCCAGGCCATGCCTGAACTCACAGGACCCAGCATGGCAGTGGTGGGCACACAGTTGGCAACACCACATCGGGCAAATACCCCAGGCCTGGGGTCTGCCAGGCTCGGCTCCTTGTTTCTGCTTACTGCTCTGCGGGAAAGAACCTTCCACTTGTTGGCCCTCTGCAGCCCTGGCTTCGTGAGCAAAACCCTAGTTGGTGAATGCCCCCATGAGCAGGTGGACACACTGACTGTCCAGGCAGCACCGGGCCTCAGCAGTCAGGGAGGGAGAAAAGTTTCCAAATGGAGGTAGCTTAGTGTGGGTCACAGACCCCACTCCCCTGCTCCAGGCCTGACCTTGACTTTGACCTTGATGTGCACAGCCTTACCCTGACAGTCCGTGGGGGAGCAGCTGAAGGCTCCAGCTTGGCAGATGCTGAGAAGACAGAAAGCACAGCTCAGTGAACCCCTGGCCCTCTTCCCCATGCCTCTGTCCGCAGCCTGCCCCCCTCCCCCGCTCGAGCCCAGGGCCTCACCAGCGCGTGCAGTTCTGGGTGAGCACAGTCCCTGCTGGCAGCTCCTGGGCCTGATCTTGGGGAGGGAGAGTGAGGCCCCAGGGCAGAGAAAGCTGGGTGCAGGGGCAGGCTTCGGGGGGCACACAGGTGCCATTGAGCAGCAGCTGAGTTTGGGAGGCTGTTAGACTCAGATCACTGCCCCTGCTCCCCCCCCCGCCTCCCCCGCAAGGAACCAGGACCCAACCCCAGCTCTCACCTGTGCCCCCGGGCAGCCACAGCCAAGCTGGCAGGGTCCCCGCTCACAGGCAGTGCCCGGCTGCAGGTGTGAGCAGAGACTCGGGCACACGGTGGCACAGGCACTGAGCACCTGGCCAGGGGGACACTCTGTGGGAGCACATGGGGAAAAGTCTGCCGCTGAACCTCTTCTCCTACCTCCTAACCTCAGAGCCTGGACCCAGAAGCAATGGGGGACAGGCACACCGCAGGCCCAGGAGCTCACCAGGGCAGGGCTGCAGGTTACACTCCTGCTGCTGTTCTGTGACCTGGGCTTGACACGGTGCCCCCGAAGGATGTTCCTCACAGCTCCGATGGCGTTCCATGGTGCCCCCACCACAGGAGGCCGAGCACGGGCTCCAGGCTGACCAAGGGCCTAGGTCTGGACATTCTTGGTGTGTGCACAGCAAGGACCCGTTGATGCAGGTGCTGTGCACAGTGCAGCAAGGGCTCAGGCTCCACATTGGAAGACAGAGCTGCAGCTCATAGGGGTGCCCGCGGCCCCACCCTGCCCCGGGGCCTCCCACCCCAGAAGTCCCCAGCCCCGCTGGCCATCACAGCAGCATACCAGTTCTGGCAGTCTAGCTGGACCACCTGGGCGGGAGCCAGCTCCGATGATGCATTGGTGCTGGGGAGACCACAGCGGCAAGAGGAGATGGGCACACAATGTCCATCCTGCACCAGCTGCCCAGGGGGACATCGGCAGCCTGGGGGCGGGAGTGGGAAGGATGAGCAGGATGCAGAGTTTGAGCCAGGTGCTGGTGGCTCACACCTGTACTCCTAATCTCCGGAGGATCGTGGTTTGACACCACATCTTATGGACAGGAAAGTCTGTAAGACGCTTATCTCCAATGAACCACCAAAAAGCCAGAAGTGGAGCTGTGGCTCAAGTGGTAGAGTGCCAGCTATGGTTGATAAAGCCAAAGAGACAATGCCCAGGCCCTGAATTCAAGCCCAGTACTAGCATACATATGCAAAGAAAAAGAAGAAGGGAAAAGAGCCAGGGCTTGTAAGGAACATGAAAGTAGAAGTGCGACTATTGGGGAAGAGAAAGAACACGGGGGTGGTGAGAGAGGGCAAGAGGGGAGGGGGGTATGATCACAGTGCATTCCATAATATACATATGCATGAAAATATCACGCGAAGCCATTATTTATACACCCATTAAAGGATTATACCCATTAAAGGATTTATACAGCGCTGGGCAAGGCTTATTGTGGGTCCCTCTGGACTGGGTCCAATACCTGGTCTCCCTTGGTGGCCCTGTGTGAGAGGAGCCTCTCTACCCCGCCCCCATGTGGGAGGGGCCTCTCTACCCACCCCCATGTGGGAGGGGCCTCTACCCGCCCCCATGTGGGAGGGGCCTCTCTACCCGCCCCCATGTGGGAGGAGCCTCTCTACCCGCCCCATGTGGGAGGGGCCTCTCGCCCCGCCCCATGTGGGAGGGGCCTCTCTACTCACCCCCATGTGGGAGGGGCCTCTCTAGCCAGCCCTGTGTACCCTCTGCACATTGCATGGACATAGCAGGTCTTGTCATCTCTGTGTACCACTCAGAGCCACTCGCTGAAAGTGACCCAGGCCTCATTTTCCTGCTTTTATAATGATCTGGGGTTCTGAGCCTTCCCCCACTCCGCCTCTGCCCCCCTGGCCCCCCCCCACCCGCTGCCCACACACTTTCTGGCCAGCTACCTGGGCTGCACGGTCCTTGTAGACACTGCACCCGGTCCCAGAGGTCGATGCAGCTGCGAGGGCACTTGTTGGCACAGTCAAGGGTGGACACCGAACCCCGAGTCTCACAGGTCTGCCCTGGGGTTCAGAAATCTGTGTGGGGGACACTCCTGGTCCCCAGGAAGTACCCGCCCCTTCCACCACACATCTCCAGGCCAGTGGCACCAACTCCTTCAGATGCATTTCCAGTCCTGGTGCCCCCTGGATGACGGGACAGTGGTTACCTGGGCAGGACTCCATATTGCAGCTCTCTGTCTGACCCCATGGCCCTCGGCAGCCTCCCCCAGGGGGCACCCCTGCCTCTCTCCAGCGCAGCCGGAACCCTCCATTGCAGGGCACCTGGCAGGAGCTCCAGGGCCCCCAGGGATTCCACTGGCATAAGTCTGAGGAAAACAAAATGGAAGTCAGGGCCAAGGCCCCACCGACACTCTGGCATCCCGTGTCCACCCCACGCCTGCACGGATGCCCCTCCTCCAGCTCCCCTTCTTTTCCACTGCTTGGCCTCTACCTCAGCCTTGCAAAAGGGTTTTTCAGGTTGGCTGACTGCTGCCCATGGGTGAGGCTGTCAGCCCTCCTGACCCCCAGGAGTTCCAGGCCCCCTCTTGCTGGTTGGCTTCGCCCCTCCTCGTTACCGTGGCAGGCATCCGGGTCAGAGCAGACGCGGTGCTGGCTGAGGGGTGCAGTGCATAGGTGCGGGTCCCCGGCCCAGGGCAACCCTGTTTCAGGGTCCAGGCAGAGGCGGTGTCGGTGCTGCTCCGAAGCCAGCAGAGGGGTGGAGGCTAAAGAGGAGTCTGCTGTGTTCGGAGGCCAGTGATCCCCCAGAGTGATCCTGGAGACTGAGGCCAGGGCACTTCGGGGTAGGCAAGGCCCACAGGGCGACCACTCGGACCAGCCACTCAGAGGCAGAAGACCTAGAAGGGCAGGACGTCGGTTCCCTCAACAGGGACCCTCAACCCGGAAACCCCAGGAGGCAGGTAGTCAAGAGGGCTCAGGGCTATGACTAAGATGAATCAGAAATATGGCTGGGCACCAATGGCTTACACTTGTAATCCTAGTGACTCAGATGGCTGAGTTCTGAGGATCACAGTTCAAAGCCAGCTGAATACCAGAAGTGGAGCTGTAGCTCAACGTGGTAGAGTGCTAGCCTTGAGCAAAAAGAGCTCAGGGACAGTGCCCAGGCCCTGAATTTAAGCCTCAGAACTGACCAAGAAATAAATAAATAAATAAAAACAGAATAGGAAATAGGAAGGGAGGGGGTCTGAGAGGGGCTGGGTAGGGCCCCTGTTTGTATGATGGTCCTGGTTTTAGCCTGGAAAGTTCCATGTCCTGAAGCCCTGAGCCCTGAATGAACATGGACTGTGGTGTCCAGAGACCAGTTACCTTCACAGCCCCGGCTGGTACACTGCAGCTCCCCACGCCGGCATTCGCTGTGGGAGGGGACAGCAGGGTTGGTGCTGGAGGCAGGACCCAGCCCAAGCTGGAGGGCAGGGGTGTATTTAGGGGAGCCTGAGCTCAAGGTATATTGAAGCAGGATGAGGGAAGACCAACATCTGGCATCTTGGGCCATTTGCTCCTAGGCTGGGCTGGGCCCAAGGGATTTAGCTGGGCTCTGCTGGGTCAGGCTGGTCCTCAGGTCCCCGGCCTCTTCCCTTGGCCTTACCCTTTGTCTCCCTTTTCTCCCATCACTCACCATTCCTTACAGCCCAGCTGGAGTCGTTCTCCAGGGGCTAGAGTCACCCCAGTCCCCTCTTCTGAGGTGTGCCAACAGTTACACTGTTCTGGGAGAATACAGCCCCCGGCCTGCTCCAGCAGCCCCTGTGCAGAAGGACAGACAGATCAGGACGTGTGGGGGCTATGAGGTAAGCCGGACTGCACATGTTGCTGAATGGATAGACAGGGCAGTGAAGATGGGGTCACCATGGCAAGGGACAGTATGGGTGGACAGAGAGCGCCCTTGTCCTAGCCCTCACCTTGGGACAGTAGCAACCAGGCTGGCAGGGTGGCAGGTCCTGGCAGAGTTGGCCACGCAGGTGTGTGGTACAGAGCCCGGCACAGGGGGAGCCGCAGGCCTGGAACTCAAAAGGAGGGGTGCAGCCATCTTCTGGGAAGGGGAGGAGAAGCTGGCTGGTAAGGGGACAGCCAGGGAGGGACACCTTCCTGAACTTCAGCAAATGCTTCTTGGGCCTCCCCTGGGGAGAGAACACTACTGCCCCCTGCTGGCTGCCACAGGACAGACATGTCCCTGCCCCTCCCCATGTGTATATGTGTGTGTGGGGGGGGGAAGGGCAGCATGGAGGGAGGGAGGGGACTTCAAGAGTTAGGGGATTGGTGGGTGCTCCTAGAATTGGCAGATGGTGTGTGTGTGTTTAAGGGCAAGACAGTGGCCAGTTTCAACAGAAGCTAGCCAACACATGCTGTCCTGTGGGCACACAGGACACACAGTGGGGACCAGCAGCTGCAAAGCAAGAAGATGGTGCTGAACAGCTATGAGAATTGGGGAGCCCAGGGGGCCACTGGATGCGGAGGGCCAGGCTCAGTGCAGCCTGGGGTATTGGATCTGTGTAAGGGAACTGCTACTGGCCCTGTTCAGCTCCCTGGCTTCTGCTACTGGGCCTCACCCGAGCAGTTGCTGATGGAGCAGGGCCGGAAATGGCCATCGAGACGTGTGCAAGGGGCGCCCTGGCCAGCCCGGCTGGGCACGGGTCTCTGGTGGCGGTAGCGCTGCTGCACCAACACCTGGCACGAGCAGCGGGTCCAGCTGCTCCAGCGGCTCCACACACAGTCCTCTGGGGCAGGGTGGGATGTCAGTTGGGCCGGGGCCCTCTGAGCTCCCCTAGGACCTCCCTTCCTACTACCCCAGCTGGGACTAAGGCTTCAGAAAGGCCTTTTTTTGGCTGAACTCCTCTCGTCTGGCAAGGAGGCCATGTGCTAAAGGCTTCTGAAGGGAAGAGATGGCAGAGAGGAAAGGAATCAGGCAAGAAGTTGGGGGAGGAGGGATAGGGTGGGGCGAGGCAACATACGATTCCCTGAATTGCCAAGGTAGGAAACCGTGGGAGGGGCCCCATTTCTGGGTCACGCTCACCCCGGCAGGGCCCTGGGTAGCAGGCCTGGGTGTCCAGGTGCAGGAAGGTGCCGTTGCACCCGGGGTCAGCCTCTGTCAGCAGGCAAGGGCAGGACCCAGAGCGGGAGGCCAGGCCCGGGCCACAGGTGCGGGAACAGGGTCCCCATGGGCCCCAGGAGCAGGCCTCCAGCAGCCGCAGACACAGCTGCTGCCCACAGCGCTGGGTCTGGGTGTCTGGACCCTGGCACGGAGAGTCCCCGTGGTGAGGGGCTGTTACCACGCAGGCGCGGGTGCGGACTTGGTTTCCACCTCCACAGGAGACAGGACAGTCAGACCAGGGGGACCACAGTGTCCAGCCCCCAGGCACTGTGGGAGGGCAAAGTAAAGTCAGCGGAGAAACGCCAAGATCAGAGGGTTGGGTTTGGGGTGACAGGTGTGGAGGGGTACAGGACACACAGAGGATGGACTGCCAGGCCTGAGGCCAGCGGGGTGGACAGGGCTAAGGGTGGGGATGAACTACGGACCTGCACACTGGGTGTCTTCACAGATCACGCCCTCAGGGGTGCAGGAGCTGGGGAGGAATCCAGACTCAAGAACTGTTCTCCAGCAAGTCACGCTCCCCTCCCCTCCCCTCCCCTCCCCTGCACTCACCACCGCTGACACTCTCCTTGCAGCCAGCTGTCTCCCAGGACGCGGGGTTGGGCATCATGCAGACACAGGGGTGGGCACGGGGGCTGGGGACAGGGCTGGCTCTGTGACTGTTCGTCCTGACACTCCAGGGCCCATGATCCTGACGTGGAGGAGCTGGCAGGGCCACGGGCATGGGAGGAGAGACACAGCTCAGGCCCTTCATCTGCCTCTGGCTCCTGGGTGACCCCCCCCCACCCTCTGCCTGCACTCAGGGTGGGCCTTGGATGGGGGAGGCTGGAAATGGGGGTTAGGGGATGGAGTGGAGTCATTCACTGGTGAGAGTGAGGCCCAGGGACGCTTTCAGGGAGGGAACCACACCTGGCAGAGGAAGAGAGGAACAGAGAGGAGTACCTGAATCGGCTCTGCCGCCCTGCAGGTCCGCATGAGTGGCTACAAGGACTCCAGGTGGACCAGCGACTCCAGGCGCAGTGGGCGGGCGGTGGGCAGAGCTGGGCGGTGCAGGAGAGCTGTCCGGCCCGGCAGGAGCAGTTGTTGCAGCCGTCCTGGTGCTGGCTCCCTGGGGCCCAGCTGTGCCCCTGGGCATCTGTGCACTCACAGTGCCTAATAGGCACACAGCCCCCATCCTGTTCCAGGAGCCCTGTGGAGAGGCGCTCCTCAGAGGCTAGCGCTGGCCCCTGAGCTACCCTGATATGCATAAAGGGCCTGTAACAGCCTGTCACCGGTGGCTCACGCCTGTAACCCTAGCTACTTAGGAGGCTGAGATGTGAGGATCGCAGTTCAAAGCCAACCCAGGCAGCAAAGTCCATGAGACTCTTTTTTTTTTTGGGGTCCAGTTGTGGGGCCTGAACTCTGGGCCTGGGCACGTCAGCTCTTCAGCTCAAGACTAGCGCTCTACCACTTGAGCCACAGCGCCACTTCTGACTTTTTTCTTTTTGCTTATGTGGTGCTGAGGAATCAAACCCAGGGCCTCAGGCATGCAAGGCAAGCGCTCTACCACTGAGCCACCTTCCCAGCCCTGTCCATGAGACTTTTATCTCCAATGAGCCACCAAACACCCCAGAAGTGGCATTGTGACTCAAAGTGGGAGCACACGAGAGCAAAAAAGCTGACTGACAGTCCTAGGCCCTGAGTTCAAGACCCATAACCAAAACTTTAAAAAAAGTGTGTGTGTGTGTGTGTGTGTGTATCTGTGTGTGTGACAAGAACCTTCAGAGCAGCGGCATCCTGGCTGGCAGGGCTGGCCGTCATGACACACAACTCCATCCTGCAGGTCTGAGCAGCGGCGCGGGCAGCGGTTGGCACAGGTGACCAGCTCCATACCTGCTGGGCAGCCCTCCTCTGGGAGGAGGGGAGGAGGAGAGGAGGCCTACGGTCAAGAGGTGTTGACTCTCTTGACCTTTCCCCCCCTCCTTTTGGGCTCCAAGACTCATCTTTCCCTTTGTGTGCCCACAGAAACACTGAATTTTGGGAGACCTTGGAAATGGAACTTTCTTTTTGTCTGTCCTGGGGCTTGAAATCAGGGCCTGCGAGCTGTCCCTGAACTTATTTACTCAAGACGAGTGCTCTACCACTTTGAGCCACAGCTCCATTTCTGGTTTTTAGGGGGTTAATTGGAGAGACGAGTCTCATGGATTTTGCTGCCCAGGATGGCTTCAAATCGTGATCCTCGGATCTCAGCCTCCTGAGTAGCTAGGATTACAGGAGTGAGCCACCGGCGCTCAGCTTGGGAATGGGATAGTCCAACAAGCTCCTCTGACCCACTAGAGAGTTCTCAGCACCTAGTTGGTACCCAGGAAAATGTTAGCTGAGCTGGACTGCATTGATGAAGTATCAGAAGGCAATGCTCTCACCTAGCTCTCTGACACTGTACCAAGGAGCCAGAAGTGGTCGTATGGCCGAGGATTTCCTAATAGACTGGGTCAAGGCCCCTGGGGGCGGGGGCTACTCAAGGAGCAATGAAAGGAAGAGCTAGAGTAGGGTGGAGAGTGGGGTTCAGTTGACATCTGCAAAGACCAGGCAGGCTGCTGAGAGGGTCACCTCCAAATTCTCTGAACCCCTTGACTGGTCTGAGTAGTTCTCCAGTAGTTAGAGGGCAGAGAAAGCTTAGAATGAGTTCTACCCCAGGGTGGGGAGGGCAGACAGTGAGCCCTGGGCTTTTAGGTCCTAGACACACAGGAAGTCCCCACTCAGTTGCCAATCAAGCCATTTCCCTCCCACTTCCCAGGGCGGGTCTGTTTCCTTAACTGACCAATGAGGTGGCAGCCTGTCCCACCTTGTGAGGATGAAGTTAGAGGTGGAAATGGAGAGAGCTCTGCAGAGAGGAGCCTCGCAGAGAGACGGAAGGGGCTGCCCCGGCTATGTACGTACCACAGGCCATAGGATTACAGAGCCGGACCTGGTGTCTCCCCCCAACACAGGGAGCACCCCCATTCTTGGGCGGAGGACTGGAACAGCTTCGACTCCTCAAAGACTGGCCTCCTCCACAGCTGCGGTCGCACGAGGACCAGGGACTCCAGCGTGACCAGCCTCCAGGCACTGTCAGGAAGAGGACAGCCCCACCAGCCAGGGCTCAGCTCCCACAGAAGAGCCCTCCAGGTCCCCCGAGGCTTGGCCCGAGTCCGGTGTGACGGAGGGGTGTGGTGTGCCGGCGGAACAGGTGTCTGGCGGGGAGCAAACATGCCAGGGCCTCCTTGGGAGCACCACTGGGGAGGAGCGCGGCGAAGGCCTTCCTACCCGGGCAAGCACGCAGGTTGCAGAATCGGTGCTCCTGGTAGGCGGTGAGGATGTCCGGGCACCAGTGGCCACCGGGCCCAGGAGGATGGTACGCTCGCAGGCGGCGCTGCTGGCCCACTCCGCAGCTGCGCGAGCATGCCTCCCACGGGGCCCACGAGGTCCAGGAACAGTTCCCTGGCACACAGCCAGGGCCAGGACAGCCAGGCAGCTCTGCCGGGACAAAGCCAAGCTGGAGCCGGTGGACTTCCTCCACCGAGGCCGGCTGTGACCCCCCTCCCCTCCCCCCTCCAGCCCTCCTCCTGGATCAGGTCCTGCCGGTGGCTTTGGCAGCCACGCCTCATGTCCCCTCATCAACTCACAGGCTGCGGAGGGACTGGGGTGTGGCTTGTGGGGAGTGCTTGGCACATCTCTGTGTAAAGCACAGGGAATCTGTTAGCGGTTGGCGGGGCACGCTAGCAGCTGCTGGGGTTGGCCGAGAGAACCAGCCAGACCTCCACTCGAGACCAGATGCTGGGGTGAGAAATGAAGACTGGTGGTCTGGGGGCAGGCGCTGACCGTGGTCAGAACGCATTGTGTGAGTGCACTGCTGAGGGTGGAGTCAGGAGCTCATGTGGACCTGTGCACGAGGGCAGGTTGCAGGGGCGCGCCTGCGAGGGGTCCCCCGAGGTGCAGTTCGCCAGGCAGAGGCGTGCGCGGCTGCGCCAGGCAGGGCGGGCAGGGTCAGTGCAGCTGTGAGAGCAGGGGGACCACAGCGACCATGGGCCCCAGGCACCTGCGGGGCGGGGGTGAGAGGGGAGAGGAAGGGGTGAGGGAGGGGGTCTCCTGATGAGTTGGCCTGTGCCAGGGCAGGGGAGGCAGGGGGCCCTGGGTGGTGCTTCCCAAAGGGTCTAGGGCTACCTGGAAGGTCGCTCGCTGGCTCCACGGTGGATATTTTGGCCCCTGTGCAGAAGAAGACCGATCAGACAGGTTTCCAAGTCTGCGATGCGATGCGTCAGGACCAGGCAGTCCGTGCTGCTCGTCGGCGCTATCTGGCCCAGCCTTCCTTCACCTTGATTATCTCACACGGGCATGCTAGGCCAGGAGCTCAAGGCCTCTGCTCAAGTTGTCCCCGCACCCTGGCATTCTTTCCCTTCCAGTGCTCATTAGAGCTCTCTTCATTCATCCACAGACACCCTAGCCTCCCCTGTCCAGGAAGCCCTCCTGGATTAATCCTCTAGGAGAAGTCCCTCCACCCCAAATTTGCTACAGCACGTGAACTATCTGAGTTCCTAGATTCTGACACCAGGGTCTCCCCCACCCCCAAAGTGTGTTGCACCTCCCAAAATCTCCAGAAGCTCTGGGTAAACATACCCAAAGTGAAGTGCAGAGAGCTGGAAGGAAGATTCTAAGACAGACATAGGACCGGACAGATACAGGAGGGGACCAAGAGTGGCGAGCCAGCCCCAGCCTGCCGATCATCGGCCCAGAGCCTTCCCAGCCCCAGCCCTGCCCTCCACCTTTCCCGCTTCCCTTACCGCGGCAGTCTGGGCTGGGGCAGAATTCCCAGTCCTGGAGGGGCCCGCGGCAGGCCAGGCCACCAGGAGTGGGCGTGGGGTGCAGACAAAGGCGGCGGCGGCTGCGCGTACCCAGAGCCCCACAGGACTGAGAGCACGGGCCCCACGGACCCCACGCGCTGAAGCCACTCCCAGCGGTGGAGCAGTCGTCCCTGGAACAGGAGAGCTGTCCGTGCACACAGGAGCTGGGGAGGGGACACAGTGAAAGGGGCAGCGTGGGCAGACGGAGAAAAGGCCACAGGCCTCCAAGGGCAGGGACACACAGGTGGGCAGAGGCAGAGGGCAGCCCAGGGTCCTGCCCTGTCATCCTCCCTTCCTGCGCTCCAGGCCTCCGCCCTCTCCCTCTCCCCCCTCCCCACATGGTTTGGACCAGTTCCCACCCTTGGTGATCCCCTCACCAGTTCCTGCAGCCTATGCGGAGCATCTGGCCTGAGCCCAGCTCATCTCCAGGCCCCAGAGGCTGGTCCCCTTCTCCTAGGAAGGGCGGGTGCATCTCCAGGACAGGGCTGGCAGCCCCCAGCTGGTGAAGCAGCACCGCTGTCAGTACACAGGGGCACTCCTGGGTGGGTGGGCAGAGGAGACAGTGATGTTACAAGCCAGCCACACACGGGGCACCAGTACAGGAGAGAAGGAATGGGAGGATGAGGGCCTGGAAGTGGGTTCTGGGCCTCTGGAGGGCATTTCCTGCAGGCGGGACCAGGGGCATGAACGCCCCATGAGAGGCAGATGGACTGTGGGTGTGGCCTGAGGGGTCAGCGCACTTCCTGCATGGAGCACTTAGCAGTGTCAACAGAAGCCCCGAGAAGACAGGACTGGAGGAGGCAGCAGGAGCCCCTGCCAGCAACAGAAGGAATCGGGCTGCCTGGGTTCCATCCAACTCTGCCACCACTAACTTTCTGTGTCCACTCCCCTCTCTGGGCCTGGGGTCAGCAGGTGCTCAGCTCCCCTCTGATCATGCATTCTCTAGAACTGACTGCAGGAAGCCACCGGGTTTAGAAAAGGAATCTGTTGGGCCCAGGAGAGCAGAGCTGGCACCTGCCTGCCAATCAGCCCCACACCCAAGATGAGAGACTGGGCTCAGGTAGAGGAAAGGTGAAGCAGTGCTCTTCCCTACAAAGGATGGACAGGAAAAGGGGGCACGGAGAAGACCCCTAGTGGTGGAGGACAGGGTGAGAGGCGGGGGGCGGGGGCAGCATGGGAGAGCCCAGGGTCTGGAGGAACCATCCTTGGCTGTCAGGAGGAGGTACATAGACAATATGCAGTAGGGCACCATCAGAGCCAGGGACAGCCTGTCAGAGATCCAAGGCCACAGAGCCCCGCCCCGCCCAGGAAGTGCGCCGCTGGGTGAGGGGTAGGGAGGACCGGCCCTGGGCTCCTGGGTAGCTGAGTTCTGACCTGAACACAGGCCAAATGATGCTGGAAGGTTCCTTCGGGACAGTGGCAGCCCTCCTCACAGGCGTCAGAGAGGCAGGCCAGCTGCCCCGTGATGTGGGTGCAGGAGAAGGGGCATCCTCTGCCAGGCTGGCATTCACGATACAGACGGTCAGCAGGACAGCCCGTCTCTGAAGCAATACCCAAATCAGTGCCTGCCTGTCCTGCAATCTGGAAATCACCGTGCCCCATCCCCGGGCAATACCCCTCCCCACAACCTGGCTGCTTCTTCTTCTGTTTACACATCACAGGCTGGGGAGCGGGGTGAAGGGGGAGAGGGGAGTGGGAAAGGTCTGAATGCATTCAGGGTTCAGGTGAAGGGATTCAGAGGTAAACGGGATGATGGACAGAGTCTCTCTGAGCTCACCTTTGCAGACCTGCGTGTGGCAGGGGCGGCTCTGGCGGGCCAGCCCAGGACAGGGGGGTCGGGCACAGCGCCGGGAACGGGGCTGCTCCCCTCCCCCACAGGAAACGCTGCAGACTTCCCAGGGACCCCAGGAACTCCACACACCAGCCCCTGGGCAGCCAGGCACCTTGTGGCACTGCAGGATGCCTGACACGCAGGTGCTGGGGACAAGAGAGCGTGCTTCAGAGGGCCTGGCCTCGTCCCACGGAGGGGGCTTCTGCCTGCTCCTCAATGCCCCCCCTTACCAGTTGTCACAGGGCCCAAGCACCATCTCTCCAGGTTCCAGGCTCTCCCAGGAGCTGAACCTGGATCCTGCAGACCGGCTCTGGTTCTGAGCCATCCCTAGAGGGTGCAAAAGTGATGGTAGAGACTCACGCAGCTCCATGTCCCCCATAAACACTTCATCCTACATCCTATGTCCTGGAGGAAGGAGACGGAGCCCAGACAGCCCAGGGTGCGGGTGGTGCACAGTTTGCAGAGGGAGCTGGGAGCCGGCAGGGGGCAGTGCAGGGGTCAGCAGGTTGCTGGGTGAGGGAGAGGAAGGCACTGACCCATGGCTCCAGGCTGGTACTGGCAGCGGCACCGAGCTGGGGGCACACAGAGCCCATCCTGGGAGAGTTGACCCGTAGGGCACCCACAGCTGGGCTGGCAGCTTCCAGAGCGTGGCTGGCACACGCTGCCAGAGGACAGGTCCTGGCAGGAGCGAGGGCAGGGCCATCCACAGGGCAGCAGAACCTGACCACCCCCACAGTCTAGGGCAGAAAGGAAGCATAAGAACAGGTGCTGAGAGACAAGAGCCCTCCTGCCATGCCCGCCACCTGCCACCCGTCCAGGAACGTGGGTAGCCGAGTTGAAGGCTGTCCCCCTTCAGGAAATGATATCGACCAGTGGGGGGGGGGTCAGAGGTCAGAGCCAAGGGTTCTCTGGACCCTGCCCCACCCCCAGGCCCAGCCAAGTTCTCACCTGCACATTGTGTGGTATTCTCCTGACAAGGGCGACTCTGTTCGTGACCCCCAGGGCAGGGCCTGCCCCCGTCAGAAGTAGGGGGCTGACTGCATGTCCGGCTCCTCTGGGACTGGCCCAAGCACACATCGCAGGGAGACCAAGGTCCCCAGGGGCTCCAGGCTCCTTCCACTGCACCAGGAAGACAGAATCAGTCTTGTCAGGAGGCCCTGGGAGACCTCAGATTATTGGGACTGGGCGGGGTGCTGCGAGCGCAGTGGGAACATCACACCTGGGCATTCTTCAGGGCTGGAGCAGGCCTCCTTCTGAAGCTGGGCTCCTGCCTCTCCAGGGCACGGGGCGCCCCCATGCTGGGGGGCTGGGCACACACAGGCCCTGGAGCGGGACCTTGTCTGGCCCACACAGGGCTGGGAGCATGCCGTCCACTCTGACCACGGGCACCAGCCTCCGGGCACTGCGCAAGAACGGTGGGCACTGGGTGTTCCGGATCCCCCCAGCATCTCCCCCCACCCCGTCCAAGTCCTGCTTTGCCTCCCCTCCCCTGACCACCCATGGCGTGTACCTGGGCAGGGCAGGTCTGTGCAGTTCAGCTTCCCCTCCGAGCAGGTGCTGGGGCCAGGGTGCAGGCCCAGGCGGAAAAGTCAGCATCTCAGCCGACTCCCGCCCACCCCCTTCACCCCTACCTCCACCTCCTCTCCAGCGCCCCATGCTTGGCCCCTGGAGATGTCACAGCTGGTGTGTTCCACGTGGGAGTGCCCAGTGTGAGGCTGGGCAGTGAGAGCAGGTGGCTTCTCTGTTGTTTGTCTACCCCCCCCCCGCCCTGCTCCTCCCCAGACAGAGGTGACTGCCTCAGTTTCCCCACCTATCAGATAGGGATGAAAGGGCCTGCCCTACATCATTCTGGAAATGGAGGGGGCCAATGTGTGCATTGGCCAAGACTTGGGGGTCAGACACGAGTTTGGGGTGACCCTGGCGGCTGCCCCGCCTCCTGCCTCGGTGCTGGAGCTACTCACCAGTGGTTGCAGCCATCTTGCTTTGCCAACTGAGCGCCTGGAGGGTGCCGCTGCCCCGTGAGCAGGTCCAGGCAGTCACAGTGACCCGGCGGCACACAGACCGCCCCGTCGGCACTCAGCACCTGGCCCGGGGGACAGTAGCACCCGGGCTGGCAGTGCCACTCGCAGTGCTGGGGACAGCAAAGGGGGGCTCTGGTCAGCAGGACACAGGGCCTGAGGGGCGAGGGAGTCTGTGCAGGCTGCCTGTCAGGGAGGAGGGGGAGGGGAGAGGGAGAGGAGAGAGAGCCTGACCTTCAGCTCAGGTTCCCCCCCCCCGCCTCTCTCTTTTAGTTGTGGGGCTTGAACTCAGGCCTGGGCACTGTCCCTCAGCTCTTCAAGGCCAGCACTCTACCACTTGAGCCACAGCGCCACTTCCAGTTTTCTGGTGGTTTATTGGAGATGAGAGTCTCACGGACTTTCCTGCCCAGGCTGGCTTTGAACTGTGATCCTCAGATCTCAGCACCCTGTGTAGCTAGGACTGCAAGCACCGGCCACTGGCGCCTAGGTTTTTGTAAAATGTTTGAATTTGAGGACATTTGCTGTACGGACACCAAAGGCTGCACTGGATGCCAGCTCCCCCCTTGGTTATAAACCAAGGCCTAGGACCCCCCCCACCGCCCCCTCCTGCCCCATTCACATGGGGCTGGCTGCCAGCACCAGGCAAGAACAAGCGATGAGCCTGCTGACCCCACTATGGGGTCACAGCAGGGGTCAGCCCAGGGTGCAGACTCACCGCGAGGTCCTCACAGGAGCGAGGGCAAGGAGGCCCACAGGGGCTGTACTCCGCTCCTTCGATGGCTGTGCAGTTGGTCCCTGGGAGGACGGGTGGGCTGAGGGCCGGGTGGCATTCCTGCGCTGCCTCCCCCAGCGGCTCCCAGTGTGCTCCCCGCCCCGCCCCGCCCCACAGGTACCTGGGCACGGCCGGGTCTGGCAGGCCTCCCCCTGGGCCTGGGGCCCCTCGCAGAAATCCCCTAGACCCCGGGGTGGTGGCTGATGGCAGGCTCGGCTCCGGCTCCGCAGGCCACCCCCACAGCTCCGACTACAGCTGGACCAGGGTCCCCAGACACCCCAGCCCCCTGCTCCTGCATGAACAGTGCAGGAAGGCTGGTAAGGGAGGGCAGCCAGGACTCCAGCCCCCCCCAAGGTCAGCCAAGGGCACTGCGGGTCACTCACGGTCACACTCTGGTAGGAGGCACGGCTCTTCCTCAGCCTCCGGGCCGGGGCAGAAGGCTGTGGGCATGGCCGATGGGGGCAGCAGAGTCAGGCGAGAGGGTGCCATGCCAGTGGTCTTGGCACAAAATCGGTGCCGGTGGCGTAGGGCGGGCCCACAGGAAGCCGAGCACTCACTCCAAGGGGTCCAGGGTGACCACGCAGGCTGGCCTGGGGGGAGGCATGTTGGCAGAGGGGTGGGAAGCACAGGTTGGGCAGAGCAGAAGGCTCATCTTGAGGTGCTCCTCTCCCACTGCCATCTCAGCCCAGGCCCAGCCCAGGCCCAGCCCAGGCCCACCCCAGGGGCAGCCCAGGCCTAGCCCAGGCCCAGCCCAGGCCCACTCCAGGGGCAGGAGGCAGGCAGAGTCTTTCTCACCCTCCTCACAAGGCCGGGAGCTGCAGTTGACAATGAGCCCAGAGCTGCAGGAGCTTCAAGGAAAGAGCGGAGGGCTGGGTTGCCTTAGGACCGGACAGAGAGCCCTGTCTCCTTGTCTTCAGGCTCTCGCCCCACACCTACACCTGTCACCTTATTTGGACAACGGGTCTTTCTAGTGGCAGCCAAGCTAAAGCCAGGCAATTAGGGTTGGCCCTGAATGCTGTTCTGGGAAGAACACAGACGCTCACCGAGCCATGATGGGAAGAGACCTGAGAAGACGGCAGAAATGCCAGATGGCTGGCAAGGCACCGGAGAGGAGAGGCAAGGGAACAGAGTCTCCCTTGGGCCACACAAGGGACCAATTCCAGCCATACCTTGATATCCAGCTTCTAGCGTCTAGCACAAACATCAGTGTTGTTGTTAAGCCCTCTAGTGTGTGTGTGTGTGTGTGTGTGTGTGTGTGTGTGTGTGTATGTGTATCTGTCTGTCTGTATGTGAGACTTTGCTACAGAAGCCATGGAAAGTAATACAGGTCGGAGGAGAGAAGACAGTGCTGGTGACAGAACCCAGGGCCTTGAACACGCTGGAAAGTGCTCTACCTAGCTATGCCCCTGGCCCCTGAAGCACAGATGGGGATGGCAGAAGGAGGGGTGCCGCTGGCAGGTTTGGCTGGGAGGGCTGGGTAGTCATGCCTGAGGAGGGGCATGCATCTGTGTGTCGTCTGCTGCTGGGGACAGCTGCATGCTGTGTGCTCCCAGCTCCCGGGATCAATGCAGGAGGAGGTGGAGGGACCCACCAGGTCTCACAGGGACGATGCACAGCACTGCCAGGGGGGTGGAGGCGCCCTCCGTGGGCACAGGGGCAGTCCTGGGCTGGCACACACACATTGTTCTGGAATTAAAAAGTCCCCAATCATCTCCAGTTCCAATCAAAGCCAGCAACAATTCCTCAGCTTTCCTCAACTGCTAATGCTGATCTTTGCAAATGCAGCTCACTCTTCGCAGCTCACTTCCGTTGTACATGCAGGGCACGGATTCCATGCCACTGGTGAAAAAGATCATCTTCCATTGCACACATATTTGTATGATCGTACGTATTATATGTATTTCCTGTGAAATATGTAATTTGTACAGCAATAGTGTAAAAAGGAAACAAATTTTCATCAGGGGCCATGCTTAGCTCCAGCTGGAACCAGCAAGTGACCTTGGATAAATCTCCAGCCCAAGGCTGAGCATACACTTAGCACTTAATAAATAATCAATGAGCCAGGGTGCCAATGGCTCATACCTATAATCTTGATTATTCAGGAGGCTGAGATCTGAGAATCACGGTTCAAAGCCAGCCTGGGCAGAAAAGTCCCCATGAGGCTCTTATCTTCAATTAACCACTCAAAAACCAGAAGTGGTGCTGTGGCTCAATGTGGTAGAGCACAAACCTTGAGCAAAGGAGCTCAGAGAAAGAGCCCAGGCCCTGAGTTCAAGCCCCAAGACTGACCAAAACAACAACAAAAAATGTAAATAAATATATAACTGGTGGTAGATAAAAGGGCAGAGTTCTTGGTGACAGGTGATTGAGAAAGCCCTTCTAGACCCAATCACCATTTTGCAGACAGAGCAGAGGTCCTGGGAGGGACAGCAAGGCTCACCCAGGGTCACCCAGGGTCATTGCTGTTCCCGCCCCAGCTGAGCTACAGTCCAGTGTCCTTTCCTCAACTCTCCAGCCCCAAACCTTTGGCTCAGCCTCTGCGGAGGTGCTGCGGGTCCCTTCCCTGCTTGGTGAGGAGGCCCCGCTGAGGTGGGGTGGGGAGGCTACGCACCAGCAGAAGCGCCCCCGGGGGGCAGTAGCAGCCAGGGTGGCAGGTCTGGTTATCCTCTCTCAGGGAATTGAGCTCTGCACAGGAGGCGGGGCCCTGGGCGCAGTCCAGCCACTGCTGTCCTCTGGGACACACACCGGCCACTGGCCCTGGGGACAGTGTCGGCTGAGCCCAGCACTGGGCTCTCTCCCCAGTGCTCGCTGCCTGGGAGAGGCAGCAGCTCTGAGCCGGGATGGGGTTGTCATGGGGGAGGGGCTGCCGGGAGGGGGAGGACAGGGCTGCAGGGAGGGAGGGCAGGGCGGTCCGGGCGGCCCTCACCTGCACAGGGCTGCGGGCTGCAGGTGGAGAACTCCACCGGGCTGTGTGGGCTCCCGCCTCGGGTGCGGTTCCTGTAGCCTCCTCCACAAGGCACGGAGCACGGGGCCCAGGGACCCCACTCCCCTGGGGGTGGGACCTGCGTCACTGCAGGCCCTGCCCCCACATCTGTCCTCCACACACCCCAGGGCCCCCCTCCCTTCTCAAACCCTCTGGCCCCCTCCCCCTTGCCTCCTGGGGAGGAGGTCTCGGAAGTGGGTGGCCCCTAGGGAGGGGCTCTCTTCGGAATTGGACGCATAGGGTCCCTTGGGACCATCTCTTAGCAGCGCCTCTTAGGGAAGTCCCTTGCCCATCTCAGGGGATTCGCAGCGCCGGGGAGGGAGAAAGGATTTGTGGTTGTTTTCGAGAAGGTTCTTTAAGGAGGTCTCAGGACCTGCTCTTACCTCGACATGGCTGCAGGCTGCAGAATTCAGCCTCCATGTTAGAACCCTGGCACTCAGCCCCCCCAAAGGCCGCGGGGGGGGCGGTGCCTGCTCGGAAACGCCGCCTGATGCCCACATTGCAACTGCGGCTGCAGGGGCTCCATGGGGTCCAGGGGCTCCAGCCACAGGCCACTGCCAGGGCGAGGGCGCAAGGTAAGGGCACAGGGCAAGGAACATAGGGCAAGGGCACAGGGCAAGGGGAGAGGGCAAAGGGCGTGGGGCGTAGGGCGCAGAGCAAGGAACATAGGGCGAGGGCACAGGGCAAGGGGCGCAGGGCGAGGGCGCAGGGTGCAGGGCAAGGGCGCGGGGTGCAGGGCAAAGGGCGTGGGGTGCAGGGCAAAGGGCGCAGGGCAAGGGCGCGGGGTGCAGGATGAGGGCACGAGGTGCAGGGCGAGGG